AAGACCTAGCACAGACAAAATAATTTTTTCTTTTTTTAAAAAAAAAGAGAATGTGGCTCAAGTCCCAGGCTGCTGGGGGGCAGGACAAGAGTTTTCTGCTGACCAGAGGTCTGGACAGCAGGGGACAAGTTCAGGGCTGGTGCAGCCCCTAGAGACACTGGCACTACCACACTTAATGCAGAACTTTTCAATGCACCGCTGCAAAGGATGCCCGCAGATCCGGTCTTGTGTTGACCCATGGATTTCTCTGATGAGCACAGGACTGGAGGAAACGGAAGCAAAGTAACTTGATCAAGGCCATTTGTCTGCAATGATGGCTTGGAACAGATGAAACGAGATGAAAGTCCCCGAATTCCACAGTTTGCTGAGCCATTAAATACGGTAACAGAAGACGGGAGGAAAGCCCCTCCCCCTCACAGCCAGCAGCCTCCATCACAGCTGTCACCGGCAGCTATCAAATCTGCTCTTTTCTTTAAAAACTAAGGAGGGTGCACTGGGTTCCATAAAGATTTCCAGTGTGGTGAAGCTCCAGCAGAAGGTGTTACTTGACACCTTCGGAGAATCCGCTCCGTTGTCTGCCTTTTGGACCCTCCCGAGCTGGTCTGGCTTCAAGATAGGCACAAGAAACCCCTCGCTGGCCTTCAAACCATATTGGTTTGAACTTAAAATGCTGAGGAAAAAAACACGGTTTGAGGACAAGTTCTAACATTTCCTTTAGATCAACCCACTTGAAAAAAAAAAATTGTGGTAAAATACCCCTAACTTAAAATTTACCATTAGTCACAATTAGTGCATTCAGTGTTGTACACCCATCCCCACTGACTAGTTCCAGAATATTTTCATCAAAGGAAACACCCCAGCTCCTCTAATATGTTTTCTGTCTCTATGAATTTGCTTATTCTGGACATTTCATATGAGTGGAATTATATAACATGTAGCTTTTTCTGTCTAGCTTAACAAGGTTCATCCATATTGTGCAGGCATCATTACTTCATTCTTTTTATGGCTAAATAATATTGCATTGGACCACATTTGTTTGTCCCTTCCTCAGTTGATAGATGTTTGGGTTATTTTTACCTATAAATTATTAAAGCATAGCTAATTTACAATGTGTTAGTTTCGAGTGTACAGCAGAGTGATTCAGTTATATGTGTATATATTATTTTTCAGATCATTTTCCATCATAGTTTATTATAAGATATTGAATATAGTTCTCTGTGCTTTATAGGAGGTCCTTGTTATTTATTTACTTTATGTATAGCAGTGTGTATATATTAATCCCAGTCTTCTCATTTCTCTCTCCCCCTCCCCTCTGTCCCCTTTGGGAACCATAGGTTTGTTTTCTATGTCTGTATGTCAATTTCTGTTTTGTAAATAAGATTTTAAACTTTCTACCAAGTTTTGGATTACATACATAAGTGATATCATATATTTGTCTTTCTCTGACTTACTTCGCTTAGTATGATAATCTCTACATCCATCCATATTGCTGCAAGTGGCATTCTTTTGCCCCTTTTTTATGGCTGAGTAACATTCCGTTGTGTGTATGTACCACATCTTATTTATCCATTCATCGGTCAGGGGAAATTCAGTTCGCTTCCATGTGAATAGTGCTGTAGTGAACTGGGGTGCATGTATGTTTTTAAATTACGGTATTTTCCAGATACATGTTCAGGAGTGGGGTGGTACTATGAAACTCCTAGAGAAAAACATAGGCAGAACACTCTTTGACCTAAATTGTAACAGTATCTTTTAGGATCTGTCTCCTAATGGAAATAAAAACAAAAATAAACAAATGGGACCTAATTAAACCTAAAAGCTTTTGCACAGCAAAGGAAACCATAGACAAAAAGAAAAGACAACCTACAGAAAGGGAGAAAATATCTGCAAACAACGCTACCGAAAAGGGATTAATTTCAAAAATATACAAACAGCTCATTGAGCTTAATATCAAAACAATAAACAACCCAATCAAACATGGGCAGAAGACCTAAATAGACATTTCTTCAAAGACATACAGATGGCCAAAAGGCACATGAAAAGATGTTTGATGTTGCTAATTTTTAGAGAAATATAAATCAAAACTATAATGAGGTATCACTTCACACAAGTCAGAATAGCCATCTTCAAAAAATCTACAAATATTAAATGCTGGAGAGGGGGTGGAGAAAAAGAAACCCTCCTACACTCTTGGTGGGATTATAAATTGGTATAGCCACTATAAAGGACAGTAGAGTTTCCTTTAAAAACTATAGAGTTACCCTATGACCCTAAAATCCCACCCCAGGCATATGTTAGGAGTTTTATAGTATCTGGTGTACACTTAAGTCTTTAATTCATTTTGAGTTTAATTTTGTATATAGTGTTATGTTCTAATTTCATTCTTTTACTGTCCAGTTTTTCCAGCACCACTTACTGAAGAGACTATCTCTTCTCCATTATATTCTTACCTCCTTTGTCGTAGATTCATTGACCATAAGTGTGTGGGTTTATTTCTGGGCTTTCTCTCCTGATCTATATGTGTGTTTTTATGCCAGTACCATGTTGTTTTGATGACTGTAGCTTTGTAGTATAGTCTGAAGTCAAGGAGGGTGATTCCTCCAGCTCCATTCTTTTTTCTCAAGATTGTTTTGGTTTTTCAGGGGCTTTTGTGTCTCCATGTGTTTTTTCAAAAAAGAATTTTTTTGAGTGCTCAGTTGATCAGTCGTGTCCAACTGTGCAACAACCCCCCAGACTGTAGCCCACCAGGTTTCTCTGTCCATGGGACCTTCCAGGCAAGAATACTGGAGTGAGCTGCCATTCCCTCCTCCAGGGGATCTTCCCGACCCAGGGATTGAATGGACTGTTTACTGCTGAGCCACAGGGAGACCCAGATTTTAAAACCTCTTGTTCTAGTTCTGTGAAAAATGCCATTGGTAAGCTGATTAGGATTGCAGTGAGTGTGTAGATTGCTTTGGGCATTGTGGTCATTCTCCTCTAACTGCTGTGGCTAGGACTTTCAAAACCATGTTGAGTTAAGTGTCCAGAGTGGGCACTCTTGTCTTGTTCTTGTTCGTAGAGAATATGCTCTCAGCTTTTCATCGCCGAGTATGATGTGAGTTCTGGGTTTGCCATATACATGGCCTTTATTATATTGTAGTGTGTTCTCTCTGTGCCCACTGTCTGAAGAGGTTCTTCATTATCATAAATGGATGAAATGTATCCAAAGCTTGTTCTGCATTATTGTAAATAATGCTGCTGTAAACATTTCTATACCAGTTTTTGTTTGAACACCTGTTTTCATTTCTTTTGCGTATATATCCAGAAGTGGGTTGTGTGGTAATTCTCTTCGCTTCCTCTGCAAGTCGGACTCAATCCAGGTTACCTTACTCTGTTGTCTGTTGATGGCAGTGTGGATGGCATCAGCTGGGGGTTGCTTAGCTGCCTAGCTCTTCAGACCAAAAAGAACCAAAAAGGTTCTTCTTCCTGCTCTCAACACATGTAACTACTCAACCCCCTCTCTTCTGCCCAAACCCCACAGCAGCCTTACAAAGACAGGCAGGAACTCAGGGCATCGCCAATTGCAAGCAGGGCTGCAGCGCTGGGGCTTTGCTCGGTCCGGAGGGTCCAAGCGCCCCTCGCCAAGACCACAGGCTCAGCAGCCCGGCTCCCGCAGGAATGAAGAGGTGCCCGAGTCACTGCCCCCAACGGGCTCTGCTATTTTTATGCCCAAGCCTGGTTAAAAATAGCCATCTAAGCCAAGGTTTTAGCTGCAGCAGACGAGACATTAAGCAGCAGATACCTAATGCCCATGAGAGATAACAATGGGTCTCTTCCTGTCTCCATTTTCTGCTCCAACAACACGTTGAACAAGAAAGCTGGTAGGAAACAGCCATGTGGAAAGCCCCTAAGAACACAGCCGCGGCTGCCCACTCGGTGCTCCGGCAAAGGCCAGCCCGGTGTCCCGGGCACTCAGAGGTGCTCTTCCTCCGGAGCAAAGGGTCTGAGTGATGATGTCACCCAAGCCCAGCAGTGCCTGGAAAGCGCCTCCCTCTCCCATGGGCCAGGCTGGGCGGACGTGCAGCTGTGCCAGCCTCGGCCTGGCTTCCCATCCAGGTGGACCCTTGACATCCCCTGCCAAGAGCAGCCACTGCCCAGGGAACACACCTGACCACACCCAAGAGCGCCCCGGGGGAATCGAAGGCGGGCCAGCCGGTCCAGACCTCCCAGCGCTGAGAAAGCCAGCGAGGCTCAAGGCGCAGGGTGAGACCGTGCCGGCCGCCAGGTCTCCCAGCTCTTACGTAAGCGGCATCTGAAGTGCAATCAACGCGTCTCAAGGCGCCGGAGGATGGGTACTGCTTCTACCTAGCAGGTGTGCAGCCTCCCCGCCTGGCACCCCGGCTGGGCCAGGAGAGCCACGTGGCCCCCGGACTGGGGAACACACACAAGCTGCCCGCCATGTGGGTAGAAGCGCTGCTCACCCTCCCTGCCACATTGCCAGCCACAGAGCCACCCCATGTGGGAGCAGCACCCCCCACCCCAGGGCTGCTGGCATCAGGCTGGTTCTCACAGCCAGACCCACGACAGGCAGGGCCGAGCCAGGACTCACGGAAGGCATTGCTCTTGTCGGGGACCACGGGTAGGGAAGAGCCTCCATTTACCCCTGGAGGCAGCGCCCCTGGGGCTCTCTCTTGCCATCAGAAAGAACTGATGATCACATCAGAGCCCCTTGCCGCGACATCCCCAGCTGACATCTAAAGCCCAGGCCCTGGTCCCTGGCCTCAGGCCCGAGGGTGGTGGCCGTGGCTCCGCTGTGGCTCCGTGCTCTGTCCTGCCCCGTGTGTGGGTTCTCGGGAGCTGGGCCCTGGCTCCCCTCTGACTTTGGTTTGGGCGTATAGCCAAGTGCCATCTCTCCCATCCTCCCCCTCTCTGCGCCCAGCCTGGGGGGCGCCTGTGTGGCCCAGAGACTCCCCCGGCCCCGGCCGCCTGCTGACTGCCTGTCTTCTTCTCGGTTCTTCCAGTGAGAAGCGCCACCTGCAAGTCAACGTCACCAACCCCGTCCAGTGCAGCCTGCACGGGAAGAAGTGCACGGTCTCCGTGGAGACACGGCTCAACCAGCCGCAGCCTGACTTCACCAAGAATCGCTCGGGCTTCATCCTCAGTGTGCCCGGCAATTGAGGCGCAGGGGGACGAGGGCTGCCCGCCCAGCCGCCACTAGACGCCCGCTCGTCAGGGTCCAGGCTGGGAGGGAGCCCCCTGCCTCCCCTGCGAATCCTCCCCGAGGGCCAGCCCGGCTTCTGCCTTTGATCTCTGTCTTCCTCTGTCCCGACTGTCCACGGCCCCCTCAACAAATCAAAGACCCTGTGTCCAGCCCAGCCTGCAGCAGCCCCTCCAAAACAGCTCCCCTCTGGTCAGCGAGGGCCACCCCCATGCCAGGTCAGATCGGCCTGCCTGGCCCTGTGACTGGCCCTGCCAGGGGAGGGCTGGGGGAGCCTGGATGTCATTTCCAACCAAAGCCAAGCCCCTGGAGTTGGGGGCGGCTGTGGGGAGGTAGCCCTGCCCTCTCTCTGGGGCCAGCTGCCCCTTCCTCCCCAAGGTGATGGCAACCCCACGCCCTAGTTCAGGGAGCTTCTCAGAGCTCCCCATGAACCCCCTCTCCCCAGCAGCCCGCCGAGACCACCAGGTGAGCAGGTTCACCCGGAGAACCAGCCCCTCCGCCCAGGAGCCCCTGGCCAAAGGAACCATGCCGCCCAGCGGGCAGTCTGTCCCGCTCGGAGCCAGCCCAGCCCCTTGACCCTCTGCCCAGAGAGCATGGTTCGGGGACGCTCCAGGAATCATCCTACTTATCCACGCAGCCCAGGCCGTGGTAGTCTTACACTTATTTCTGCAGTTAGGAGCAGGGTTACTAACCAGACACCACGTCCGCTCTACCCACACTGGTGTCAGGAACACTAATAAAATTGAATAAAAGGGGAGCACTCGGGGGTCTGGAAGTTTTCCCCCTCCAATGCCTCTGCCTCACACTCACGTGGAGAACCAGGCCGGGGGCGGGAGGGCCGGGGCCCACAGGAACTTGGGGAACGGGAGCGATAGGAAAGAGAGCGGGGGTCCTGGCACTGCGGGCCAGGCCAGGATGCCCACCCAGGCTAGGAGAGTGGTCACCCTGCCAGTCCCTGCCCTGCAGAGTGTACGTGTGCTCCAGACGCCCTGGGACCACGCCGCACTCCCCTGGGCAGCCCCAGGCCTCCCAGCCTGGAACCTTCAAGAGTCAAGACCCAGGCACCCCATGTGGTGAAGAGGGCGCTAAGAATGAGCCCACGCCCCAGGTGGAGCCAGGCAGGGTGTCGAAAAGAACACTGTTTCACCGCCGGGGCTCCTCCCCGCTCCCCACCTCCACGCCCCTCCCACCCCACACCCCAGCCCCGCCTGGCACACCCAGGGCCCACCGCCGCGATGCCGAGCACAGGCACACCCCATACCATCCACAGCACAGGAGCCCTGCTGCCATCCAGGTCTCTGAAACCCACTCTCATCCTCCAAGCCTGGTCAGCTGCCCGCACAGGGCCCCATTCAGCAACACCCACAGCTTTGCCAGCTGCCTTACACTATCGGTCCTCCCTAACTGGAACATCGCCTCTCCTTTCCACTTACTGCCCCCAAACTTGTTGCTTTACTAGATACATGCAAACGTTATGTTTTAGACACACCAAAACAGAATATGCCAAACGAGTGCCTTTTGGAGGCTGGACAGGAAGGGGGAGTCCGGAGTCCCACCTCCTACCGTTGGGTGTGGCCTCTGGCCTTGAGCTCAGCGCCTCCCGGCTGAGGGCCGATGCGCCAGCACCGTCCACAAGCACTTTTTCATGATGTCCTGCAAGAAGTCACAGTGTGTGGCCACTGAAGGAAAGAATTCCAGGTGTGATCATGGCGCGAAGGCAAAGCAGGAGGGACACAATGATTGTATGCAATGAAGTGTTTTCTCGTGATTTAGTTAAATGTGGTTTTATGGTTTGGTGCGTATATTCCTATTTTCCATTAAATTAACTTTATTTCTAAAGCATATTTTGATTTATCATCAAGAGCAATAAAGCATTAAATCTTACTCTTAAAGGTATTCTGCTTATTGAGTTGAAAACTATCTAAAATGGTGAAATCTGGGCATGTAGAAAGTCAATTGTTATTCTGGAGGCTGAAGGGAGCATTAAGCACAAGGTAAAAATGGAAGATAGTTGGCCTGGGGCTTTTGATGAAAAATATTAAATAGTGAGAAGACAGCTGTGGAGAGAAGGAGCCAGGAGGGGGCCGAGTGGCGATGTTAAATCCACACTTTTCCACTATGTTGAGGCCTGCGCACTGAAAGCGCATTGCTTTCACCTTTACTGAAATCCAAGCGCGCAGAGAATAAAGGCAAGACTTGGATCTCCAGGGCTGCAGCTCAGGGAGAGGCCTGAGTGCACCCTGGTTGGCTGGCTGGTCAGCCCCTCCCCGAACCCACTGGTTGGGATGGGTGAGCTGCCAGCAAGCAAGGCCCTGTAGGGAGATGGGGCCACCCCAGCACCCCAGGGTGCTGCAGCCAGAGGATGCTCCCGACCCCCGGTCACTGGCCGGAGCACGCAATGACGGCTTCTGACTCAGAAGACAAGGCGCCCCGATCGCAAGGCTGCCAGCTTCAAAGGCACAACCTGCACAGGTGCCCCCCAAGGCCTGGGGCAGCTCCAGCCCGCCAGGCGCCGAGCCGGGGGAGGACTGAGACCAACACACCAGGTCTCTAAGGCTCAGGCTGGTGGCAAGAGGGAGCACAGACCGATGGCAATACAACCGGTAGGGGGCCCCAGCCTTGCTACAACTGGGGGCTAGGGAGGCTGCTTAGCCGGGAGCTGGAGTTTGCTCCTTTGGAAACCTGCGCAGAACTAGGCTGGCGGCGCTGAACCACACGGACCCAGCCAGCTCTTGCTGGCCTCGGGACCTCCGGGCAGTGGGCTACAGGCAGAGCCCGGCCCCGCACACCCGGGGGCCCAGCCCTCGCCAGGCCACGCCTGTGCCTGACTCTCCCTGGTCGGAGGTCCTGGGCCTTGGAAGACCAACTCCTGCCCTGGCCACGCCGCGAAACCCAAGCTGACTTCACCTGGGCTTCTTTCTTAATCACCTTAGCCGTGAACACAATTGTTAAGCCTTCTCCCCTAACCCTGCCCTCCTCCCCTCCCCCACACCGCAATCCAATTATGTTCTGAGCACAGGACTCCTTTATAAAAATGAGTGGGCCCCCAACCCGCTCTTGAAGGATGTGCCCACAAAAATGGTCTGTGTAATGGATGGTCAGTGCATTTTATTTAATCAGCACAGTACAAAAATAAATAAAAATAAGGGGAGGGGAATTAAATTACAGCCAAACTGAGCTTCATGACCTTGTCAGATTATAAACCACACATACTTACAAACACGCTACGCATACATACAAAAGTGAGACAAATATAAATTAATATTAACAATACCCACAGTTTGGTCAAAGAATAGCTACAGAAGAAATTGCACTAAAAAACCAACATACATCGCACGTGTGTAATTAGCAGTTTCAAATATACAGCTAAGAATAGTTCCAAGTGGGAAAAAAAAAATGGCACATTTCCTTTTCATTGCAAGTTTAACAACTGCTAGAACAAAACTAAGTTCTAATAACTGCATGGAAAGAATATATCAACCCTTCAGGTTTTACAAGAAAAAAGAGAAAACCAAATCCTGAACTATTATTCCTGTGACTTGTTCTGTGCACGGGTGTAATTTTCACAGCCATCTGTTCTAAGATTATTTTTCTTAAGACACAAAATGCTCCTGGTTTGCATGCACAATATCACTGTAAAAGCAACAATTAAAGAATAAAGGGTGGGGGTTTTTTTGTAGGTTAGTTTTTTCCTTTTTTTTTAATTGATCTAAAAGTAGTCTTCGTAGCAGCATGTCAAACGGGTTCATTGCTTGCACACTCAAGTGTATCAGTCTCTTTACACAATGCTGATGACCAGTGCAGAGGAGCAGACCTCGCCAGGCTTCACATGGATGGAGCTAGAGAGTTCTTTCTTTAGTCCCCAACCATTCCTGAAATTTGCACCGCCTCCATAAGTTAAAAAAATAAATATGGAGAGAGAGAGAGAAGGAAACACACAAAACTGGAATCCCGCGGGCGTGCCTTCCCGCAGTTTCAGGCCCGGCAAGGCCCACGAAGGAGCAACTCGAGACCCCGGGTCCCGGCTCTTGACACTCGGCCCCCCCGACACCACCCCACCCCCACCCTTGCGTGCCGCCGGGGCCCCGACGCCCCCACCGGCCGCCTACCTCGGGTCACACACGGCAGCAGGATCTGCACAGACAGGCTGTGTGTGACAACTCCCGCAGAGAAGAGGCGCTGCACGCAAGGTCCCCGCCGGCAGCCGCGGGTTCCTTCCAGCCCTGCGGCAGGTAAATCTGGCCGGCGGTGCTGGGAGCAGCTCAGCCTGAGCCTGGGGCGCAGCTGAGGCCCATGCTCCCAGCTTAGGGCAGGCCCTCGTTCTTGCGAGCACCACGGGGCCCGCAGGCTCGACGCCGGGCCTATTAAATCGGGACCTCAAGTTTCACAGCTTTCTCTTTTTTATGTGAATTTCAGTAGTGCTTGTGCTGAAATGGCAGCCACCTGGAAGCTAATCCTATGTAAAATGGCCCCCTGCCTCCCCCACCCCCAGCCTCCCCTTCCAGCCCCCCTTGGGGGGTTGAGACTGGAAGAGAGAATTCTCTGTGGGCCTTCACATCAGTCTTTGTTCCCCAAAGCCAGAGGGATCGCAGAAGGCTGGCTCCCTTCTCTGGGTCCTCTCCCAAGCCCCCAGCCACCGATCTGGGAGAATCAGAAAGAAAATTAAGTGACACATCACGGGTTTTTACAGCCACTGGGGTTGAAGGTGGAGACCCAAACAAGCAGCTGCAAATGATCAGTGGGAGAATCAGCAGGCAATCAGGAGTTCGGCTCCTGGCTCGTAATTGTCTCCAAGATCCAGCTGTCTCACTGGGCCTTTCGGGACAAGGCTTCGTCTTCAGGAGAGACTCAACTGTTTGGAAACAGCTTTAAATCAACAGGGGGTGAGGGGAGGGGTGCATCATTACCACATCACCCTGATTCCTGACATCACCCCCGCCCCAACCCCTGCAGCTCCGCAGGGCAAATGTCATGGGCACCGGCAGAAGCCTGAGCCCTTAGGTGGGCACCGGCTCAGTCCCAGGCATGGCAGCCCCACCTTCCCCAGGAGGCAGGCCGTTGACAATGGGCACCTGCAGCTGCCCTGGCCTTCGCCACGGGATGACTAAGCTGCATGATTCAAATGAAAAATTCACCCAAGAAAGGAGTTGTCCCTGGCATCACTCCACCCCTTGGGAGCCGGGACCCAAAATGAAAGAACTTAGTGAGTCAAACCAGCTCATTAACCAACACTACCAACAGGGCTGGGGGTGGGGGGCGAAGGAGGGGAGGTTGGGAGGAGGGGGTGTGGGGGCGGTTCCATGTCTCCACAAAGGAAAGCCCTTCTCCCTAAAAAAGAAAAAAGAGCAAACCAGGGTCGTGCATGGCCAAATTAAGAGGACATGTTCTCCGCACCAGGCCGGCTTCCCCTTGATTGAAGAGGCTGTCCCAGGGCCACGGGCGTTTGGCCTTCTAAGCCCACGTGCGGCGCAGTCCAGGTGCCTCCAGGAGCCTCTGGGAGAACAGACGACCAGCAAATGGCCTCCAACCAGAAACTCCCGTTCCTCCCTGGCTGTGGGCCGCCTTCCCTGCCTTGGTCCAGCAAAGGCGCAGGCGGCAGAGGCCGGTCAGTCCTTTCAATTCCCCAGAGTGAGAGGTCAGGGGCCGGAGTGGCTCTGAATACATCTTCTGAATGTTGCACAAGGTTCGGGAGTTCAGAAGCGCCCAGAGTTCTTGGCAGGGCGGAGGAAAACCCCAAGGAGGGGAGGTGGGAAGGGAGAGGCCCTTGGTGGCTTTGCTAGACACATACTGTACACAAAATCTGATTTAAGAATAAATTTTTAAAAATGAATTGAATCCTTGAGCCATGATGCAGGCTAGCGGGCTCACCGGTCCAGCCCGAGGAGGAGCCGCTTCTTGTCCTCCTGGCCGCTCTCGTTCTTCAGGTCGGAGAACACCTGCGTGAAGTAGTGGGGGTCAGCGTTGATCTGCAGCATCTTGGAGCTCATGAGGTTGATGACGGAGAGGCAGCGGTCCCAAAAGGCCTCCTTGCAGCTCTCCACCAGGAAGGGCTTGAGCGGATAGGAGATCTCGTTGCCCATGTAGGAGTAGGAGAGGTACAGGCAGGTCAGCAGGACCGCCTGGAGCTCGTGGTCGGAACCCACCTCGGAGGAGATGACATCCCGGCAGAGCATGTAGAGGAAGACCACGTTGGCCGGCGTGATGAAGCCCTGGTCCTGCCAGCCCTGCAGCAACAGCGAGCGGTCCACGCTGCGCAGCCAGAGCACAGGGTCCGTGGGGGACAGGTGCTTCAGGCGGTAGCACCGGCGACAGAGAAACTCGCCCAGGCAGCGCAGCAGCTCGCTGGTGGACGCCTGGACGATGACCCGTTTGGGCGTCCCTGCGGAGCTGACGGCAGGGTGCGGGGCCTTCTTGACGGACGAGGAGACCCCGGTCTGCGAACCCGAGAGCTGGCTGGCTGGGGGGGCGGGCGGCTGGGCCGGCGGGGGCTGGGCGAACGTGGACAGGTTGGCGCACGACAGCGACTTCTTCAGGTTCTCATTGTTGAGGTGCGTGATGTTGTTCTGGTAGCTGCTGTTGGGCTGCACCTTCTTGGAGTTCTTCTTCTTGGCCGACACGGCCACGATCCTCTTCCACGGCAGCACGGAGATGATGGAGTGCCGCTTCAGGTTCTTGTCCTTGGCGTTCTTGCTGTTCTGCACGGCCGTGTAGTGGCCCACCGTGGCCGCGCCATCCTCAAACAGCGTGGCCTTCCGGTAGCTGGGGGACAGGGACAGCACCGTGCCCATGGTGCCTCTGCGCGCCGGGCGGGGACCCGCGCCCCTGCGCGCCCAGCCTGCCGGCTGGAGGGAAGAAGCTCACCGAGCCCGCGGCGGCCAGAGGGAGGCGGGGGCGCTCCCGAGGTCGCGTGCCGCCCCTCCGGATCTGTGGGGGGAAAACAAGATGGTTCTCAGCATCAGGCGGGGCTCGCGCCGCGCTCCTCCGCCCCGGACTCGGCGGCCCCGGCCCCGGCCCCGCGCCCGGGGCCTTCCCCGGTTGACACGGCCCCGCCCGCGTCCCCGCGCCGCAACCCAGGCCTCTCCACTGCGGCACCGGCACCCGCTCCCGCCGTGGTCCTGATGGCAGCGCGGGGGCCCGGGCGCCGGCAGAGGCGGCCGGGGACCCCGCCTAGACACGGCGCGAGGCCGCGGCCCCGGCCCCCCGGGGGGAGCGGGCGGCCCGAGGGGCAGGCTTACCGAGCAGGTGGCTCCGGCGCTCCGCACCTTCCGCAATGCGCGCCGCGGCTCAGCGCCGCGGTCCCGGGGCTCGGTGGGGCTCGCGCGCGGCGGCGGCGGCTCGGGAGCTTCTGTCCAAGGTTCTGCAGGCGCCGCGGCCCCGCCCCCCGCTCGGCCGCCTTCGCCGCCGCCGCCGCCGCCGCCGCGCCCGCGCTCGCCCCGGCGCGCACCTCAGGGGCCTCCCTCTCGGGCGCGCGCGCGCGGCCCACGCGCCGGCCGGGCCTGGTCTCACCCGGGAGCCGGGGCCGCCGCCGTGCTCAGCACGAGCGGCGCGCGGTGCGGACAGCGACGCGGCCGCGAGCTCCGGGCGCCTCTCTACTCGCCGCGCCCCATCCAGGACCCGGACTCGAGCGGCGGGGACTCGCGGCACCTCCCGCCCCGCCCCGCGGGGCCGCCCCCCTCCCCGCACTGCTCACCGCCCGCTCGGCGCTGCCGCGCCAGCAGCAGCCCGGCCGCGTGAGACTCGCGAGCGCACCGCGCAGCTGAGCTCGGGCGGGTGGGGAGCGCCAGGCCGGGAGGGCCGGGGCGGGGCCGGGGAGCGACCCCGCCCGCCGCCCCGCCCAGACACGTGCTGCCTTTGTTCCCGCCGCGGCGTCCGCAGCTTGCGGGCGGCGGGGGCGCCCTCGGCCGCATCCGCGCCCCGGGCCGCCTGAGAACAGTCCACCGAGGCCGGGATCGGAGCAGCCTCCTTCCATTTAACGCCTGAGACCCCGGGGACCGAAGCTAGGGTGCTCAGGGAGCAAAGGCGGGGAGGGGGGAGGCCCCGGTGTCACGCGCATCCGGCGGGGACTGTCCCATGAGCTCAGAGTGCTTTTCCCTCCGGGACCTCCATTGTCCCATCCCGGGTCAATGCCCACCGCCCAGGTAAGTCTCAGAAATATAGGCCAGAGGCGTATGCTGCTCTGGGCCGTCCCATGGAGCGACTTGCCTTCCCCCACACCTGGACAGGACCCTGAGGCTCCTGGCCCGGTCACTGGCCCGGGGATGGACGAATACTGAGCCCATCCTGAATGTGACCTCAGAATTTCCCCTGGCCCTCTTTATCTGTTACAGTACAACTGAAGCACCTGCTTCAACCAGCCTCTGATCTGCCGACTTAAATATTTCTCATGCTAAGCGGGTATAACTTGAAGACTCGGTGCTCCTAAAATTATTAAATTCTGAGTCAAGTTCTGGTTCTGATAACTTTTCTTTTCACAAAGAACAAGAATCCTTCACAAAGGCTCTTCTTCACTTATTCTTTTAGTTTGGTTCTGGAGATTGACTCAGATTTGACCACTAACCTGGGAAAGAGGAGACCCTTAAACCATATCCTAATTCCAATTACCACTTCTTAACCTAAGGAGGAAGTGGCAGTCCAGAGAATAACCCCATCCCCTGATACCCAGACCACTCCAGCAGCCTGTGTCAGCTCTGCCTACTGCCCTGAGCAGTACTAAAATCTGGTGTCACTCACAATGCTACATCATCAGAACGTACTAGAATCTGCTAAAGTACTACCCAGAGGTTTCTCTGTCGGTAATGGCCTGGGTGTACAGTGGGAATGCAGTGCTCGGGACTCAGACTGCTTCCTGTGGCGCTCCTTAGAAACATCCACAGCAGCTGTCGTTTTAACTTAGAAGGTAAAGGTCAGCCCTTAGCTTGGTGTGACCCTCCCTCTGAACATTCCTCAAGTACGGTACAGCCCCTACCTGCTTTTCAAATGGAGCTGTGAGGAGGAGCTTTGAGCATCAGTCTCCTCTGAGTCCCTGGTCCGATGACTCTTCCTCAGGCAAAGCTGGACCCCAGCCTTTTTTCATTCTGCCCCTAGTGGAGGCCCTGCTCCTGACTTGGCCCATGACCACATTGCTTTTCCTGTGTCCCCTTCAGATTATGGATGGTTAAGCAGGAAATGCATGCTTTCCACTTCCCCAAATATGCTTAGCTTTCTAAGCCTATAATCCACCCCTTAGAACTATCTGGACCCATCCTGCTACCTGTACCTGCAGATTTCAATTCTAACTATTCCAGTTCATGGTGGGCAGTTCCACTTCACTCCATCCCATTTCCCAAACTATGATGGAAGCTCACGTTGGCCTGGGCCTTTTCCAGCCTGGCTGCTCTCATGTCCTCTCTTGCCTTCGCCCAGCCAGCCCTCACCTGCTACCTTCAAAAAGAGCTCTTGGCAGAACTATCCCAACCTCCTCACGCTTGTCAGAGGTGAAGTCATGTGTGCAGCAGGGCATGAATGGGATGGCGCTACCAGCACACCGGCTGTTGTGACCAAAGAACCCTGGAACGCTGTCCACCCTGTCATGCCCGCTGTTTTGAGGCACCACACCACTCTGCTCACCCAGCCCACCACCACCACCCTCCTCAAGCTCCCATCACTGCTCCAAATGCGAAGGAAGGAAGAACAACCATCTGCCCAAAACGGCAGAATCAAGGGCCCAGGAGGCAGACCCAGATGAATGATGCACAGCTGTTTTCTTCCCGCTCTTCACCAGAGAACTGCAGGGAAGCTCTCCAGGTCCCACCCCCATCCATCAGCCTCTTTATCCTATAGTCTGTCTCTAGCTGCCGGAAGGGCCAGCCCGCTTGGTACATGCGCTGCTGAGCTAGGATTTCCTGGAGCGTTCCCATGCTCTGCATGCCCCCTTCCCAAGGAAGGGAGGTCAACGCCCCAGTCGGCCAGCCCCCGAAAGGGTTCGGAATAAAGCCGGGCTGAGCCCTGGCTCCTGAGGAAGTCATGCTTTGTTCTCTCAGGCATCACAGAGCAGCATCTAGTGGCCCTTCTGGGCAGCACAGATTACATAACTCCAGCCTGCAGCAGGGTTTCAGAGCCAAGGGCCTCAGCCGCCACTCCCAACGCCATCAGTATCTCATTAACACACAAGGAAGCCCTGGCACCGCGAAGCCTAGGGCCAGAAAGGACCCCTAAGTGAGGGAGCCAGGCCCAGGCTAGCCCATGGGCCACCCCACCCTCTCAGCTGCACCTGGATGCAGCTTATCAAGGGATAGGAAGCAGTCCTGCAAGGTCTAGGGCAGCACTGTCTGAAAAGCAGTAATAGTAATGTGAGCCACAAACACAAGCCAGAGAGTTAATTCAGTATTTTCTAGCAGCCACATTTGAAAAGTGAAAGGAACAGGTGAATTTTAATAGTATATTTTATGTAACCTAATCAGTGCTCAAAATATTTCAACATATGTAAAAAGGAAGTTGAGCAATGAATTTTTCATTCTTTTTTCACCTTCAAAGTATTCTGGTTTGTTTACTTTTGCAAGACACCCCAGTTTGAACAAGCCACATTTCCAAGGGCTCACCAGCCGCACAGGGCCGGCAGCCACACCCTGGGCAGCACAGGTCTAGAGAAGTCAGCAGACGTGCGGAGGGAGCAGAGGACAGGCTCTGAGCTCCTGGACTGCCCACCCCTGCTCTGGTCCTGGGTCCTTGGGAGAGTTTTAAAGCCCTTTATTGAAGCACAGCTCCTCCTCAAGTAAAACTATACACAGACACTATATTGAGACATGCCAGAGTGGCTCGGACTGGAGTTGGCAGCTAGAGCCCACCCCTTCCTCCCAGTGGCCCCAGAGTCCCACAGGAGTCTGAGGAGCAGGATGAAAATCAATGCTTTTGAACAAGATCCAAAAAAACTAAAACTAAACCACAACTGAATGCCAGGATTCTCCAGGCACCTGCCCTGTTACCTGCATGTACCCCTCCCACCGCAATTACCCGCGGAGGAAGCACCATCCTTACTGTGCAGGTGAGGAAACAGACTCAGAGGCTGTTACAACCCAAACCCCATGTCCTCACTGGACCACGAGGCCTTGAAAAAACAGATAACTGAGCCCCCATCCCCATTTCAGACCTCACAGACCAGCATTCTCACCCAAAGGCCTCCACCTCACCCTGGCTCTAAGGTCTCCCCTGAAGCACATGAGACACAGCAGAGCTCTGCCCAGTCTCGAGGGCTACACGGACCTGTCTGGACTTGATCAGAAGACCTCCAGCACTCAAGAAAGGACACTTTTTGAAAAAAAAAAATTGTTTTTATTGGAACTCATCTGAACATCAGATATACCTGGTGTTGGTTAGCAAGAACCGTTTGTACATTTGATATTGATGGTGCCAAAACCAAAACAGTGACTGGACATGATGGGGAAAGATGGTGAGAACAAAAACCTGATTTTGGAGAGGAAAATAAAAGCCAGTCAGATTCAGTGAGGATGCAAAACCTGGTACAACAAAATCCTTTTACAAAATATAAATTTATTACGAAAACCTGGAAGGATAATCTGAGAAAGGGAAAGAAAGATAAAAGGAAGGCAGCGGGAAGGAAGGAGGCAGGAGGAGGGGGAGAGGAAAAAAAGAGGGGAGAGGAAATGAGAGGAAGAAGAGAATACAGCTGAGCACAACAGAGGCGCAGAAGCTTACCTGCCCAAATGGCATTAAAGCCTGGCTGTGTAATCTCATCATAAGACAAAGCATGCGGAGAACAGTGCTCCACCTCCCATCCGTCCCAGTTCTAAGAGGTAAATAAAGACGCTCCCTGGGAGGGGGACATGAGGTTGCTCAAAAACCCAACAACGAAAATTGAGGGGGGGGGGACCCACACTCCCCAGTCTCATTCCCAACGTTCACTGTTTAAAAAAGGAATAAATCCATCTGACAGCAGGAGAGGAGCAGTGGGACAGGAAGAGAAGCTGAAGGGTTTCAGACAGCCTAACTCCCCTGTGGGGAGAGGAGGAAGGAAGGGAGACATGGGTGGTTGTCTGGGGGTGGGGAGGGGGCTCGGGGCAGGGGGGAAGAGGGAGAGACAGAAAAGAGCAGAGGAGGGGGGCAATTAAAACACTGACGTCTAATCTAGTTTACTGTGTTAAAAAGAGCCACATGCACAGCAGGCCCCCGAGGGCCAACACTGCTCCCCGTGTGGCCACGAGCTCCCGGCCACGTCCCATTCCTTCCCGGGTCGAGCGGAGCCGTGCAGGCGCTGCTGCTGCTGCGGTGGCGGCGGCGGGACCTTCGGCCAGTCTGCTGGGGCCACTGTTGGGGAAGGGCGGGCGGACGGGCCGTATGGCAGGGGACAGAACACCGAAACGCCTCGTTTTCAAATAAAAAAGAAAAGAGCAGTCTATACACAGTTGTTTGTTTTGGTTCAGTACAAACAGAATAAAAAGTCGTTGCTTTGATGGTCAGGCAAACACCCAATTCGGAAGAGGAGGCAAGGTGACGCCCAGCGGGTGGGTTAGGAGCCCCGGTGGCTGGTGGAGCGCCTGGCTTGGCGGCCCTCTCCCGGGAGGCAGAGAGCACAGCTTTAGGTAGTGTAAGCCTTTTTCCTTTTATTTAGAATAACCTGTTTTTTTTTTTCTTTTTCTTTTTTTTTTAAGCAATTTCCCCACTCCCAAGTCGGGCCAGTAAAGATTACATGAAAACTGGCACACCTATCGGCTGGAATACAGATGCACCAAATGAGGATTTAAAAACTTTCCGAGCGAAAAGTAGAACAGAAAGAAAAAAGAATCTCCTAGCATTTTCCCCAAAGGTTTCACTCTCCCGCCACACACACTCTCCAAAGGACCGCTACAGATCCAACTCTGCAAGAGAAGACAGAGCAGTGTCAATCGGGTAAGCCGCCCGCGAGGCCACCGGGAGGTGTTCAGTCTCAGCAGGCAGAAGACAGCGCTGCCCGGGCCGGACCCGGCACCAGCACTCACCTATGTCAGCTTCTTGGCTTTGTTGTAGAGGGAATCCACTACTTTACTCATGTTCTGAATTGTTTCCAGAGCAGCTTCATACGTTTTATCTACTGGGGGTTCATCGAAAATAATCAAGACACCCTCCCCCTGGTCCAAGATCCCTGCAGGAAACACAAGCGAACCCAGGTAAAAGCAAGGATTAGACTCACAAGCACTGGAGGCGCAGCCCGCTCCCTAGCTGCCTCGCGTACTCCAGAAAGGAGGGGCAACAGAAGTCGCCTTCCTGTTCCATTTGTGCATGTTTATCATACGCGCTCATCACAGGGATGAGGGGGCAAGGGTCCCAGGGCACCACCAAGGGAAACAAGGAGCATCCTCATTCACCGTCAACAAGAGCATGATGCCTCTTCACCACTTCATCACCTCCACAAGCCCCCTCGCCCATCTGGCTCCTACTCACCATGAAATTTCTTGTCAAGAATCATCTGTGATAATTTCCTTTCCACGTCAGCCTAAAATCAAAGCACATGATTAAAGGGATCAGCCATCTACTGACAGCACAGTGACACAAAAGTCTTGCATAAAAGGGTCTTAGGACAAACTGCCTGAAACAGCAACAGTGAGGCTCCACTCTGAGCCCACAGCCCCCAGGCCCCACTGAGCAGCGGGTTGGGGAGCTTTGCAATAAGGCCTAGGAGGTGTCAACAGCAGCCCCTCCACGCGCGCCCTTCCCCATCCCTACCCTCCAGACAAGCTCAGGACTCCTTACCTTGGAGAGTTTGATGAGGCTAGATATGTGTTCAATCTAAAAGGAAAGGTAAAAAGACACCAACACGGAAAGTTTTACTTTGCCTCTAATACTGAGATGAGGGTAGTGCTCTATCTTGGATCCTGGCTGAATGTCAGGGCCAGATCCTCTTTAGCCGTGCCTGGTCCATCGGCCTACCCTGCGTCATTACAATGATCACACTCCTGTCTCACATGCCCAGAAGAGACAGCATCTCCCACATGCACGGTGACTGCAAGAGCGGGGAGGAGACTGCACCGAAAACAAGCAGGGGCGACCTCACCAGCCTCCACCCCACAGCATCCCTCTCCTCAGCTCTCGTTCCCTGTCATAAAAATCCCAAGCTCTTAGGGGTTCTCCTGCCTACTCCTAGGCACACCCTTGGTAGGGAGTTCCCATCTGGATGAGTGTGGGAAGGGAGGGGGCGACAGGGAGGAAGCTGAGCCAGAAACCCCCTCCCACCAGAGAAGAGCCGGAGTCCCCAGGAGGGTCTTACCTGTACTCGGGAAAAGGGCTCGATGACTCGGATCAGGTTCTGCTCCAGTAAGTTATCATACAACTTGGCCAGGTGTGTGCTGATGATGGGGTCGTCCCGGAGCTCCGCCCGGTAGTCTGTCAGGGCCTGCCCAGACAGCAGAGATGGGCACAGAGAAGGACTGAAAGTCACACTACTTGCGGCGTCCTAAGGAGTGTGCTGGCCCCTGTCATTACATACGTGACCCAAGAGGTCTGGAGGGTTTGGAGAAACGAAGGAACTGCCATGAAGGCAGAAGACAAGGAACACGAAGATGTGAAAGAAGGAGCCTACGCTAGGCACCATGTTTCTGTCTGAAAGCCTCACACTGACCACTCAAACCACGCAAGCACCACAAGCAGCTCGGCTTACAAGCCGATTTCACTGCACAAGCAGTTCTCAATGTGTTTCACAGAACAAATACAGCCTCCACGGCAGTGGGAGAGAGGGAATGCTGATGTTAAATAATGGGAAATGCTGAATTCCACAGCTAGCTCTTGGGGTTTTATAAGAAACAGCATAACATAGCTGCAGGTACCAGAAAACAAAGTCCCTTTCTAATTGTGTGAGTCCTAACGTTTCCCAAATATCTCATCACGGTCCTTGTTTTTAATCCCTGCTAGAAATGTTCCATCCAAATTTGGGGATAAAATGATCCAGACTCTTTGTTTATTCATGTATGTGGTCTGTTTATCCTTAGTAATATTCCTCAGCATCCCGCCTCATTTCAGCTGTGCCATAGAGTGTTAAGGGAAGCAAGCAGATCAAGCCAAGTAAGGAAATGAAACTGACAAGAAATCTCAAGGAAGATGATGGACCTTGGGGACAGTCAGAGAGCCACAATGTCTAGTTTCTATTTTTCTTCCTGGATCTACGTTTTTATTAAGTTGGTCTTTATACTCAGATTAACAGGAAGGAGACTCAGAATAAGTCTCACCCTACTGCTTAGACAGGCTTTCTCCCTTTCCAAACCTTTGCAAACATTGAGTGAAAGGCACGGGAGGCTAAGTAAGCCTAGAACTTCATCCTAAGGAAGTCTTTCAGCCCAGATGCGCACATCAAAACTGATGTCCACAGAGGAGAGGCCAACCTGGCGTTTCTGGAGCTGAAGGAACATCTACGACCATGTCGAATGCTGCCTGTGTCAGACCCTGACCCAAGTTAGCATGTGACTCAGGCCGTCTCTTTAAATCCCAGCTTCCCCAAGCATAGATCGCAGCTAACAGGTTTGATGTGAAAAATCAAGTGCAAGAAGGATGACAAAACTTTTTGAAACTGAAAGGTACTCTATATAAATGAGATCTCACAACTCAAGTTTCACTGTACAAAAGTACTTAACTACTTCTTGGGGGTGGGGAGAAGAGTTGTTAACTTTGGGTTTCTTAATGTTTACTTGTTTATTTTAGCTGCACTGGGTCTTTGTTATGGCACAGATCTAGTTCCCTGACCAGGGATGGAACCTGGGCCCCCTGAACCCCCTGCATTGGGAGTCTTGGCCACTGGACCACCAAGGAAGTCTCTACTTCTTGGTTTTGATACTACATTTAAGATGTAACCATTGGGGAAAACTCAGTGAATGGGACGTGAGGTCACCTTGTACTATCTTTACAACTTCTTGTGAAACTGTAAGCATTTAAAGATGAAAAAAAATTTTAAGTACTTAAATGCCCCTCCCCTCCACCTGGTTCCCTACCAACCCAATGCCATGCTTACCTTTTCAAAATCTGCCAGTGATCTGTTCTTGCTTGCCTGAGCCACACACTTTAATGCTTCTGTCTAAGAATAAAGAGAAAATAGTGACAGTGATCTATTCCGCACACTCACATCTCCACAGGTCGTAAGAAACGTGATACATCCACACAACTCCTGGCTGTAAGGAAGAATCTGCCCTGTGACTTTTCTTCTCCAGAGGCCTGGGAAGAAAAGCCAGAGGAATGGAATACCACTGTGTGCCAACCAGTTTCCCTCCAAAAGCAGAAGTGATGTGAAGATGTTAGGAATTACAAAGTTTTTCCAAAAAGAGAGGCTTTGATAAAGCACTCTCCAAAGATGAGAAGCTAAAAGGGAAAATGGCCTGAGAGGTGTGAATTCTTCCCCCTCCTCCAAGACTCCCTACCCCTACCTACACCCCCAGATGCCTTCCTGCCCTGAGACCTGATCACACCTTGTGCTTTACCAAAACTCACTCTGCTGGGTTTGGTGCAGGACACAGGCCAAGATTTACTTTCATTAGCACTGAGGCATCAAAACTCTACATATTACACTGAACGTTAAAACCCCAGAGTGATGAAGGTATAATCAAAGGTTGAGGGGCAACCTCTAATCTGGTTATACAAGACACCTGACCGAGCTAGTAAGCCTGCACTCAGCAAGAAAGCTACAACATTCGTCATCTGAGAGGCGGACCTGACTCCTGCTTGAAAGCTGTCATCAAGGTACAAAGAACAAGAAAGAACAATTCTGGTACCAGCCTCTGTACGTAAACAAGGAAGGCAGTGTCTTCTACAGCAGACTTTAAAAACGATGCAGAACTCATCGTTAGTAGAGTCTGTTTCCAGCATCTGTCCTACAGACCGAAAAATGATGAGAACAGCCTGAAACTCAGAGCCAGATAACCCAAGCTCCAAGTCTGACTTCACCAGTACCAGTTACCTGCCCTTGTGTTCTGGACACTTGACCTCTCTTGGCCCACCTCCTTAACTCTAATGCTAGATATGACAGTGAGTCTTTCACTACGGTAATAACCAATATCATTTTGATCAAAATGAGGAACTGATCTGAAACTTCTTCTGATGAAAAGTCAATTAGGGCCATTTGTAATAGATAGAAGAGATCATCTGCAATGGACATTCCGTCAAAGATACAGTGAGATGGCCAACATTTCTGTTGTTTAGAGACAACTCACTCAAAACCTAGAAAGACTACTTTTACTTCCCAGTGATAATCAAGCAAAATACAAAGTGATGATGCACACATCTGAGACATCACCTTTACACAGGGCACTCTTACCTACTCAGGCGTAAAAGGCATCTCACACAGAGCTACCAACCACCAAAGGTCTCTTCATGACCACACCCAAACTCAGGAGATGAGTGGGAAGGTATGGATGTGAGAAGCCCTCAAGTGAGCCTCAAGTCCTAGTTTCTGCACCAGGCAATCCAACCTCTCTGAAGGACATGTGCACCAGACCTTACCCAGCTCCACTGTCCTGGAGAATATTATTCCATACATTAAATTTTCAAGCCAAGCTCATAGGAGATATACTTTCTGGTTGAAGCCAAATGCAACCTAACCCACTATAAATGCTGCAGTTCAATTCTGAGTTAAGTCCCTCAAACCACCTGATACCCACAAGAGCACCAAACAATGACTTTTCAGGCCCAGAACTAAGAGTACAGGAATTATACTAAAGGAGCCTGATGAACATAAGCGGGGGAGGGCAGAATGAAAAGTAGAATAGCGACCTGAAGGGCACGGTATCAATGAACACCGTGACCGACCACACACTGCCTCAGAGTGAGCAGAGATCAGAACTGCAGTCAAGGCATCCCCTACCTGCCTCCCTGCATACCGAAGTGCAAGCTTCCCGCTCACCAAAGCCTGGACATCTTCTGGGCTAGAAAAAAAAGACAGACTTGGTCAATTGCTCTAGGATGCTATGTTTCTAAGTATATGTTTAGGCAAATTTCTTCTTCTGTGAAAAGACTCTGCCCACAGAAGTAATCAGCCCCCACCCCTAAATCCATATGCCCCTGACACCATAGGAGCTAGGCTTTCTCCACTCTGGGCTCCCTGCTGAAAAGCAGAAAAAACTCAACTTAAAAAAGAAAGCCACAGTGGGACTTCTCTGGCAGTCCAATAATTAGGACTCGGAGTCCTAATTTCACTGCTGTGGCCCCAGGTTCAACTCCTGGTTGGGGAAATATCCCACAAGCTTCACGGCGTGGCCAAAAAAAAAAAAAAAAAAAGCTATGCTGAACCTACCAAAAGTAATAAATCCAGCAGGCAAAATGACTTTATAGATCAAATCCCAGTATAACAGATCTTTTAAAAACACAAGTTCTGTTTAATCCCAAGATCCAAAAAAGAATCCCAGTCAGTATCTCATGTATTCCCAAAAAAGAAACATGGAAACATTCTGTAGAACCCTTTGTAAAACATCGAGCTGTCACAGTCGCCGTTGTCACCCTTTTTCAAACCTTTCCCTCACCTCTCCTTTAACCCCCCATTCCGGGAGGCCGAGTGGCTGCTGCTGGTCTATAAGCCATTTCCTGGCCCTCTGTCCAGTGCCCAGCAACTCTCTAGACAAAAATGCAGGGTAAGGAGAACACTCAGAGGGGCTGGGAAGGCTATTTCTCAAATCTGTCTCCCCAGTTCTAAAAGATGAGGAAGAGTGCTCTAGGATTAGCTCTGATCCTCCCACTCCACCTTAAGTACCCCACAAGGTGGCAGCCACTGCTTCTGTAACTGGCCAATCTCCCTGCCCAAGTTATCCTGCCACACAGAAAATCTCAGACCAAGGACCTGAGTGCTCATACCCCCAAGTTAACGTGCACCTACGTGTTGAGCATGATTTTGCACAGCAACATATACTTCAGAGATGTGATGGCCTTGGGGCTATCGATGGAATCATAACCCTCGAAAGCCTCATAGAAATATGAGTACGCAGTTTTCCAATCCTTCTCCTCTGCTGCATGGATAATACCTGGGCATTGAAAAGAAAAGGGTAAGAACCATATGAAGTAACAAAACCATAAAATATCACAGCTGGAAAGGGCCTCAGAAGTCTATCCCAACTTCATCTACTTATTGACGTGGTCAGGGAAGAATAGAAGACCTGCCCAAGGTCACTGCCATCTAGTGGCAGAGCTGAGGTGAGAACCCAGGGCTCTGAACTCCCAGGTCAATGTCATCTACCAATATTAATTCTAAACGAGTTAGAGACCCAACTAAAGGGGACCCTAAAAACCACATATGGTCCTCATGCACCTCATCGCCACAGCAGTCCCACTACCCTTTGGAACCTCTAGACAAGGCCATGTTCACTCTCTGTGACATTATCTTCACGAGTCAGAAAGGTGACCCAAACATCTCTCCCTGCTCTGCCCAAATTACTGGTTTTAATAACATCAACCATTTCTTTCTGATAACTTTTCTAAGCTTGACATTTTTATATGTAAGCAGCTTTCATGAGAGGGGAAAAAAAGAAACCCAACCTCTTATATAGTCTCATTCCAGATATTGGTCATTTACAATTTTATAGATGTACTTTTGCTGTGATGCAGTCAATACATAAATTTCACGTAATGCCAAATTCATGAACTTAACTGTAAACAGTTAAGCAGTATTTCTTTAGGTTGATATGCTACATACTTTATCTAACCAATTCTCTGCTGTTTAGAAGCTGGGTTGCTCCGAATGAGCCTAACTTTGACTGAACCTGCAATTATTACCAACCTATGCTATCACTTGGGATGACATGAAAAATAGTACTTTCTAGCTTGAAAGACATCTAAGCCTAAGATTCTCTATATCAATTCTAAGCCTGCCTCAGCCCCATCCATGTGTCTACCTCAGGACTTCCCAACTTTTTCACAGCAAGGTACAGAAGTACTCAGTATTCTGGAGTAGAAGGATGAAACTGCTCATGCATGCCCCAGGGGATCCATGTTTCAGACCCGCCTGTCATATTCCTGTGTGCCTGGCACACCAGTTGGGAACTTCTACTTGATAACCACTACCGAGTGGTATGTGCCATACCCAGGGCTTTTATTTTACCCAGAAAGCCTCCCATTTAGCAGCCATAGGAATCAGGCCCTTATACTTAACTATAGAGGCCTGGGGACTCCCCTGGTGCCTCAGACAGTAAAGAATCTGCTTGTAATGAGGGAGACCTGGGTTCGATCCCTTGGTTGGGAAGATCCCGTGGAGAAGGGCATGGCAACCCACTCCAGTATTCTTGCCTGGAGAATCCCCTTGGACAGAGGAGCCTGGCTAGAAACAGTCCATGGGGTCGCAAAGAGTCGGGTATGACTGAGCAAGTAAGCACACAGAGGCCTGGAGAAAACCCAGCCTCCTCTGTAGCCAAGGAGACTTCCCTCAGGAATATCCAACAAACTACTACTAACACTGCCAAATTCAATGAGACAAATGCCCATTTTTCCTTTCCTCCCCGTCCAAAGCCAGAATAGACCAGAAGAAAAGTAAGACTGGTATTAAAAAAAAAAAAAAAAGTAAAATAAGGCCCAAAAACTGGTATACTGCATTCTCAAATACATGAGCAAATGTCATGAGGACTATAACCATCGCAACTGGCATAGGACATTATTTAAAAAAAAACAAAAACAAAAAAGTAGCCTGTTACTCATTCAACACCAATATTAACAAGGGTCCACCATTTGCCAAGCACTGATATAGCTGTTATAGAGGAAATAAATATGAATAAGGTCCTGAAGCAGCTCACAGTCTCACAGCGGTCATCAAAACAGACACAAGGAGATTAGTATCATAATACGTACCAAAGAATATACATTCCACAGGGAAGTCCAAAGTGAAGAAGGCACTCATGAGGGTTTATAAAGGAGACATACAAGCTGGATCTAGAAGGATGCATGAGACTTTGTCAAGGGGACAAGATGGAAAGGGGAACTCCAAGCAGAGAATACACAACAGCAGGAACACAGGAAGTCATTTGGTGACTAGGACTGAAACCAAGATAAACATGAAAAGAGTGCCTTCCCTTAGAATGCACTGTTAAAGAGGATAATGCAGAGTCGCTGGATTTACATGATCAGATTTGTGTTTCCAAAAAATGAGACCAGTAAGCAAGATGGACTGGGAAGTGATAGGGACGTTTAGAGTACAGAAAAGACCATGCCAGAGGTCCAATGGCATTCATGACAGCAGTGACTGTAGAGATGGAAAAGAAAGGCAGATGTGGAGACAGACTCAACCTCATCTGGTGACTGACTGGATATGAAGGGAGAAGAAGAGGAAGGGAATCCAAATCACTCCAAAGTCAGTAATTACACCACTAACAAAAATAGGAAATGCAGAAAAGAACAGTGTGAGGGGAAGAGTTAGATAATAATTTTGGTTTTTGATGTGTTGAGATTCATATCTACAGAACATTTAGGTATGGAATTCAGGACAGAGAAGCTACCAGAAATCTAGGTGAGGAGACCATGTGTGTGTTACGCGGCAACTAAAGCCATGGAAGAGTATGAGATGAGAAAGGAAAAGGGGAGACCAGGAAGAGACAAGAACTAAGAAAACAACACTGAGGAACACCCACACTTGTGAGACAACAGAGGGAAAAGTGACGAGGACAATCAGTCAAGGGAGGACCTAGAAGACACTGCTGTCAAAGAAGGCTGCAGTGTCCGACAGTGTCCCATCTCCACAACAGTCAGAGATTACAGGGGATTAACTCTCTTGCAAGGAATCAAAAAAGACACCAAAGTAATGATATTCTTCCAGCTTTTCCAATAAGCTTAACAGAAAAGGAGAAGACAGCAATTTTAAAAGGACAAAGGACTGTGATTTTTCAGCTGGGGTAGTTCAAAGACTGAGGAAGATCCAAGTGGAGACGAAAAACTGGACTTAGAATTGGAAAACTGAAAACTTACAAAGGCAGGTAGAAGGATCACACTTGGTAACAGGTAAGAACAGACAGTGATACAAATTCTAGGGAGGAAAGAGAAATAAAAAAGGTGCACATAAAAACGGCCTCCATCTGCTCTGAGAAATATGATGCAAGTTCATCTCCTGACCATGAACAAAGAGCATAATGAACAGCAGTGGCTAAAGAAAGTGTCAATTTTGGTCAAAGCAAGGTCCTGTGATAAGAGCTTACATTCACCATCTCATTTACCCCTCACCACCATCCTGTAAGGAGGTAGAATTATCATCACCATTTTTCAGATGAACTAAACATAATTAAGTAACTTGCCCAATCACACAGCTAGAAATTCGCAAAACTAACATTTCAGCCTAGAAAAGTCGTTTCCTAGAGCTTCTGCTCTTCCCCCGAATGAAAACACATGCCAACGGACACTCACCTAAGAGGCAAGCATGGCGGACGCTGCCTCCCTCTGACAGTTTTATGTGAAAACAGAGTGCAGAGAGGTAACACAGGGCTTAAACTAGTCCCCTGCCTCCAACCCCAACACCCTTCAATAATGATAATAAATCATAACTAACAAAAGCTGCTGACTACAAGTACTCTACTGCCAATCCATGGCCTCCCAGCCCAATCCCCACACTCCTTAAGAAGGCAATTCACTACACTCTCCTGTAGGGGTAGGGGGTGGGGCTGGGGTCCTTTCCTCAGCCTTGATATGAGGTCCTTTAGAAAAGCCTAGCATGCTTTACAAAGGTCTCCAGCTGTCAAGAGAGGTGGGTTAGTCCAGTCCTGGAAAGAAGTGCCACCATCCTGAGTAACTGGCAAGGATGGAAGAGAAGGAAGACCTTTTTAAAACCTTAAGTGAGACCTCTCTAGGATGCTGGTGCCAACAATCAGGTTGCCTGGTCAACCACAGGTAAGCAAGTTCTTAATATAATTTAGGCAGTTCACAGCAAGTGAAGAGTAAAGCGGGCAGCTAGTTAGAGGGGTAACCTTCCAACTGGTTTCCCTGAGGAAGCCTCAGCCAAAACAGCCAATTTTATTGTTCAGCCCCAATTCGCCATTCCTTCCACCTGTAAGGTAAGATGAGCTTTAAGAAAACATCCCATGAGTTTCTAAGGGTGTTACCTGACTGCATATCCAAGGTGGCCTGCAATTTAGGGGGGCAGTAAATGGCATTTGCTGTGGTTCGAGCAGAGGTTAAGGCAGCTCGGGCTTTTGGCAGGTTGCTCAGGGCATGGTAGGTTTTGCTTTCTAAAAGCTGTACTTCCACCAAAAGGGCTTTGTCATCCATCTTTTTCAACTCCCGAAGCAACTGAGAACCTAGAGAAAGAAAACACAGATACCTCTTTGTTAGCCATAATCGTAATACTTTAATACCATACTATTTCCCTCTCTCACCCTTATAAGAACACTTAGGATAAAGAAACCTGCCTGAACTCAAAAAGAGGTTATCTATTTACAAGATTTAAATTTTCTACTAAGGTGTTGTCTTCCAAAAGAGAAACACAGATCTCTTTGAAGCCTTTCAGCATACAAAAGACATCACAGCCAAGAATCCTATGAGCTTACTCCTAAGATTCAAATAAAGGAGGAATCCCCACCCAGAAAATGCTGAAATTACTTATCCAGTTCAGACAGGCACTTGATCTCACTCTATTCCTGTCCAATAATCCTAAGACTGCATAAGAAACATGAGGCACTAGGGCTGGTGGGGAAAGCAAAGAGATTAGGATATACTAATGTTCTCCAAATACTCCTCCTTCCCCAGGCTCAACGTCATTAATTTAGTCATTAGGGAAATGTAAATCAAAACCAAAATGAGATACTATTTCACACCTACTAAGATGGCTAAAGTTAAAAACACTGACAATATCAACAAGTGTAGGTGATGGTAGGAGTTCAGGCAGGATGTGGGGAAATTGGAACTCTCCTCATACATTGCTGGTGAGAATGTAAAATGGTGTGGCCACTTTAAAAAGCAATTTGAAAAAAAAATAAAAAGCCGTTTGGCTGTTCCTCAAAAGCTAAAGAGAGTCACTATATGCCAGGAATTCTACTCCTGGGTATATACCTGAAAGAAAACCATGTCCACATAAAACCTGTTTATAGCAGTATTCATAATAGCCAAAAAGTGGAAACAATCTCAGTGTCCATCAACCTAATGAAGGGATAATGTGGTACAATGGAATCTTATTTAGCAATAAAAAGGAATGAAGCACTGCTATATGCTACAACATAGATGAATGCTGAAAACATGCTAGAGAAAGAAGCCAATCACAAAGACCATACACTGTGTGATTCCATTACATGAAATATCCAGACTAGGCAAATCTACAGAGGCAAAACTAACTAGTGATTGCCCTGGGATGTGGGCACACAGAGGAGGAATGGGGGATTAACAGGAGTGACAAGTGATGGATACAAGGTTACTTTCTAGGGTGATGAAAATGTTCTGCAATCAGATAGTGTTGACAGCTGCACAACTTTGTGAACAGACTAAAAATCACTGGCTGTACACTGTGAAAGGGTGAATTTTATGGTCTGTGAATTATATCTCTATTAAAGCAGTTTTTTTTCTTTTAATGCTACTTGTTAGAACCATATGAAAATAGCACTTCTGCAGGATAAGAATTACATACTGGCAATTTTTCAACTTAATAGATCATGAAAGTCATGTTCTTCTACCTGGAGAAAATAGTCCAGCTATATCCATTAATTTTTTAAAAAGCAGCAAGCAAAGATTTAAGGGTGTTTAAAGGCCAAAAGCAGCCTTTAGTTGGCCCATTTCAGGTTTCCTGTATGTATTTACATCCAGTTAATTTTTTTATTTTTAAAATTGATTTTAATGACAAACAGATATAGTAAATGTAACGGTCAGTAAATACTTGCAGTTCCACCCTTTTGTTCCCTAATGTTGACAGACAGTTTCTTAGAACTTCTAAATGTCACTTTTCCATGACAGATTCAGTAACTATAAGCCACTTTAAATCTTCTAAGATATAGGCAGAATATAAATTATTAATACATAACTAATAAGAGTATCCAGGTTCAGAATACATTCATTTGGCCAGCTAAGATGGAGGAGGAAATGGCAAGCTGCTCCAGTATTCTTGCATGGAAAATTCCATGGACAGACGAGCCTGGTGGGCTACTGTCCACAGGGTCACAAAGACTCAGACATGACTGAGCGCAGGTGCACACACACATACACAGAGCCAGCTAAGACACTTTACTAGCTTCCACCAGCTTACTTACCCAAATGCAATGCTTCCTGGTACCTCTTGGTATCAAAGTACAAAGACACCAGTCTTGCCTAGGGAAGAGAAAAGGCATTGACCGATGGAAAGGGGACGAAAACAGCCAAAGAAAGAAATCAAAGATTGACAGTCACAAAACTGTTACTGCTGAATATTCAAGTCCTGATGATACCATCAAATTCAGCCTAAAAAACAATTATCTAGCCCATGATATTATCTCCTATTATAGCCAGTGACTAAATCATGTTGCTGCTTACTTTTCTGAGCCAAGCAGCAGGTTGGTATCAAAGTTTCAACCAGAGCAATTCTCATGAGCAGGTCTACTACCCATCATTTTGGGTGCATGGATAATACACAGCTGATGAAAATACTTTTGATAAGGATGGTGCTACTCATGTTCACAGTCTGTCAAACGTCTAGAGATCTGAAATCAGCACTAACGCAGGCACATACCTCCAAAGCTTGGCGTAAGAAAGTTCTCTTCTCTGATTTGGCCCATTCGATGCACTCTAAACACAACTCGACCTGCAACAGGGAGAGACAGTATATGCAACATTATGTGCTCACGTTCTTCCCACAAGCCTTGCTTGGGAGAACAGCTTCATTTCCTCCTAATGCATTACTATCCATGTTTACTGTCTCAGGAGCATGCCTTGATCATAGTATCTCAATATGTATAGCATAATGGAAAATCAACTTGGCTTTTTACACAGAGTATATTTGTGCTTAGACTGTGTTCCTTTGGAAAAGAGCTTTGTCTTCAAGATTCCTCATCTATCTTCCCAGGAGGAACCCAGGCTACATATGCAGTCCTGGAATGTAGAGTTAGTTCTATAATGGCTGAGACATTTTTAAAGCAGAAATTTCTCCTGAATAGTAACAGTAATGTGTTCACATGAATGTATCAGTCATAAAGGGGAGAAATTCTCAGTCTAGGCACAAGTGTCTTACTCTTCCCACAGTCCTAAGACTCAAAAGGCCCAGATGACTCTTCCCTTCCAGAGTCTACAAAGCTCAAGTAACAATTCTCATCGCAGTACAGCAAACTTAGCATGTATGCAAGTGAGTAAACAGAAATTAAAATTAGCTCAACACTTAAAGGGGCTTTTTAAACTTTCTATAAAAGAACCCTGAACTCCCAGTTCTACCTGCTACCCAAGCAGTAATGTCCCATGCAAAGTAACTAACTTAAAGAAGTGTTCTACGCCAGGTGGTCTACATGCCATCAGGTATCCTTGCCACAGGAGCGCTGCCAAGTACATATTAAGTGCTGCAGATCATCTATCACTTACTGCGAATTTATATTAAGATTCATAATCAGAGCATAAGATAAAAAGAAACCGAGCTTTCCAGAAAACTAACTGGTAAAACAAAGCTCAGTAGATAAATGAATGACTTTACCTGGCATTTGGAAGACTCATCAGCAAGAGTCAACGAGAACTCTGTATCTCACCGGAGGGGCCCCTAGTGGCTACTTAATGCCCAACTCTAAGCTCAGCCACCCTCACGAATTCTACAAAACTTTAAATAAAAGCAGGCCAATCACAATTTCAGTTTTGAGTTCTGTTCTAAAAGACTAAAATCAAAGTAAGATTTCTGTTCATACATGAATGGAACTGAAAATATTTTGCTGAATATTTTTAGAAACAAGAATAAGTCTTTAGTCCTCTGTGTTTTTGGGGACTAAGAAATGCTTACCAACAGTTTTACCCAGCAAATTTAACAATGCTGAAATGAATGCCTACACCTGATTCAGTAGTCTGGAATAAAAGGTTGGCCTCTCTGATATATACCCCTAGTTAAGAAACACTGAGTTCTACCCTAGCATCTCACCTGTCCCCATTTCCCTGACAGTCCAGATGTTAAGTGACTCACCCAAGGTCATGATCAGCTTTTGGGACCAGAACTTGACCCAATCTCAACTCACACTTAGTAAATTCAGGTCAATAGAGACATTTCTCCCACAGTAGATAATTTTTACATGAACGATCAGTTTTCAATTACAGGGTACATTATTTGCAATATCTAGGATTATAATCGGTGAAACCAGCGCGTCAGTTCTAAGAAAAAAAATTTAAAGGCCACTCACTGCCCTTTTGTTTGAGAGGCTTTGTGCTTTGTTAATGCTAACAATGACTGATAAAGGGGATAAATAATAATACACAAGAAGTCCATGCCTCTGGAGGAAGCCCTTACTTGAGTGCAACAGCTTAAAACAGTCAAATCAGATATGTTTTTAAGCTTTAAATAAATACACTAAACCATTTTTTATATGCCTTTAGTCACTAAATTCCTAAGGGAAAAGAAAGTTAACTACTATTTTAAGTGTGAAATTCTCTAGCACGAACTCCCTTTTTTCCATTAAAATAACTAATTCAACAGGATTTTTTGATGTAAGGTTTCTTAAAATGTGCTGTGTGCTTCAGTTGGATAGACTATACCAAAAAATGGCCTCCCAAAGACATTGCCTAGACATGCCTGGAAGGTAAAATCAATTCTGGAATTTCAGCTCACTCTTCAGTTAAGGATCTGGTTCAGTCTTCTTTCTCCCCTCTTCACCCTAAATCTCTACTCTCCTTCTCCTTGCCAACCATCCCAATCCTCAGTCGCCCACCCCACCCATACAGCCTCACTTCCTAGGCAAGTGACCAGAACCTAACCTGAGGTGGAGGGGGGTTCAGGATGGGGAACACATGTAAATCCATGAGTGATTCATGTCAATGTATGGCAAAAACCACTACAATACTGTAAAGTAATTAGCCTCCAACTAATAAAAATAAATGGGAAAAAAAAAAGAACCTAACCTGAATCACATCAGCTTCCGGAACACAGCAAGCTGAAGACCATGCTGTAGCTCTATCTGACTTATGGTGAGTCACCAAATACAAAAAGGCAAGGAAAATCCCCTCCCCATACTCTTCATGTTAAATTCCCCAACACTTCTAGATCTCTTACCGATGTCCTAAAACTTCGTATTTTGCCCCAGGCCTCAATAGTTCTATGACAGTAATCTACCTATGCCTTGCTCCTCTATCCTTTCCCAATACTCAATCAAAGAATTTTAAAAGAACCTAGAATTTTCCACTCTCCCAAGTCAGAGGTCTTGAGTCACGTAGACAAATGCAGCAACAATACCCCATGGCTGTATCTCAAGTCAATAAACTTAAGTCTTAATTCAACAAAATACCTCCTGAGCATCTATGAGAGAGAAGGCATGATCCATATATCCCTTCAACAAATACCAGTTAGGGAGCTTCTTTGGGCCGAGCTACTCTAAGTGTGGATGTTACAGCGGTGAGTAGGACACAGTGATTATCCTCATGGAATTTACATTCTAAGTAGGAAATGAATGTTAATAAGCAAAATAAACATGAAGAAAGCAGAAATAGGGTATTTTAGATATGGTGATAAAGGAAGGTCTCTGAGGAAATGAGATGGAAACAAAGACTTGAAATGATGAAGAAGAAAATGGTAAAGAAGAAAAAAGGCTGTGTTAAGATCAGGCTGAGAGCGGGACTTCCCTAGAAATACAATGGTTAAGATTTCATGCTTCCACTGCAAGGGGCACAGGTTAGATCTCTGGTCAGGGAACTAAGATCTCGTAAGCCACACAACATGGCCAAAAAAAAAAAATTAAATGTATAAAAATGCCCCAAAGTTAGAACAGTTTAAAGCGTTACAGCTGTAAATAAAGTAAAAGAAAGAATAATATGGCAGGTGAGGTCAGAGGCAGCCATGGTTAAGGAATAGCCATGAATTAGGAATGAGAAAGGCACTGTGATACTACAAGGTATACAGGGCTCCATCTGAATGAGACTGCATTACAGGAAAAAAAATAAAGCAAATGTTCAAGTGACCATCATACAAGGCAAAACCATCAGGAATATAACATGTACAAAACACAGCGTGGATCACTGAAGAGTTCAGATCACAGTAGTGTCAGCAAGGAAAAATCTGAGGAGATGGTACTTGACATGGAGCTACAGAAGGGAAAGGCACATCATGAAGAGTGCACAGGCCTTGCTCAGCAAACAGGCAAGTACCCAAGAGGGTGGGCATGTCTGGTACACTTCAGAGTACCAGGAGACCAGACTGTCCTGATAAGCTGTACTGTAGAGAAACATGAAACACGAATTTTGCAGGCAATAGAGAGCCATTGAAGGCTCAAGTCAGGGGTGTACAGACAGGAATAAGAAGTTCAGAGGGTTACTGGTTAGGATATCTCTCTAAGTAGTGGTACGAGACTTTTGCAGTAGTCTAAGAAATAATTAGAACTCGTTGTACATGAACAATACCTCCAAAAAAAAAAAAGAAGAAATAATCAGAACCCAAACTAGATGGCAGTTGTACATAGAGAACAATACAAAAAGAGGTGGAAAATAAAGATTGGAGAAAGTTGCATTGACAGAATTTAATAAATAGTTCGATGTTGATGTTGCTATGTTGAGTTTGAGGTGCAGACAGAACTATCTGGATGGTTCATAATTTATTCCAAACCAAGCAAACAATCTGTAATCCAAAAAAATTACTCAGAGACCTGCTAAGTGGAGTAAAACTCTGGCTCTTGATAAAAAGCTAAACTACTAATCAATAAAAACAAACAAACAAAAAAGACCAATAGGTCTTACTTAGCATTGACAATAAAAAGATACAATATGTGAAAGTGTTTCCTTTCACCCTAGGATAAGGAAGAAAAGCCTCTGGTTGACAAGAAAGTAATGTAAAATGAAGAATAGCAATGTACACACACAGTTAAAAGGAGGGCCTAACCAGACATGGAGCCACAAGACAAAGGGCAGGGAACCCCACAAACCAATTACAGGAGAGCACCAAATTATGATTTGGATAATTTGGATACAGGAGGAGGAGAACTGACCATCAAACAAATGCAGTTCTATCCACTGAGCCAGCTCACTGTTATAGGAAGAGACAAATTCCAAGAGTTGAGTCAAAGCAGCAGCTTGGATAATTAATTTTTTCTGACTAAAATGTTTTAAGTAACATTTATTAGTCTGTTTCAAGCTAACATTTATTGGTCAGCTCATTCTAAGGCAGCCTAATTCAAACAAAAAATGTGGCATCTTTTTCATGAGCACAAATACAATTTTTTTTTTTTTAAGTAAGGATTACACAAGAGTAACACCTCTTTGAAACACTACTTTTTCTTTTAAATTATTCATAAAAATAATTCTAATGCTTTGGTTCAAAAGGCAGCCATCTACATATCTATTTTTGATCTACTATCATGAAACACAGTTCTGCGAAAAACAAATGAACTTAAAGACTTCTCTACAAATGAATTTTCTATAATGAAGTTAGTTTATGGTGTATAAACTAGGCTTCAAAGAATCATTAAGGAAAGAAACGAGATTTTACAAAAGACATGATTTCAAAGTGAGATCCATAAGTGCTAGGTTTCTGAAGTTCCCCATTGCTTATTCAACACCACTAAGCCCCTTCATATCTTTTACACCCACAGAGGCCATGGAAAATAATGAGACATATAACTACCTACCAATTCCTACCCCTGCCTTTATACCAGTTGACATTTTATATATTTGTTCATTATCTGCCTTCCTCATTAAAATATAATCCTCATTGAGAGCAGTAACTGTACACTGTCACAAATGAATCCCTAGTACCTGTAACAGTGCCTAACACAGCACACATTCAATGACCGCTGAGCAATATAGAAAAGGCAACAACTATATTCTTCCTGCAAACAGATTCAAGCAGCCACCATACACCCTGCTTGAATCCACCACTTTTTACAGAATTAGTTTTAACTTTGGTAGCGTCTCCTTCTCCAGAATTGCAGACAATAATTCTTTGAAAAGAACTGGAAGAGGCTCAGTGATTCCAAAGAGGCACTCTTCAGTACAGCTCAGGATCTAGTCTGAACACGTAGAGGACATGGACAGGTACGCCAGTCACTTCAGTACACACGAGACAGAGAGATGGATGCTCACTCCTCAATAAAGGCATAAATGCATACAAGACACGCCAAGAAGGGATGCCACGAGACTTAATTAATGCTCACGAGGAGCTCTGTGATGCAGAGGTGCCACAGACACAGAAAACATTACAAAGGTGTTGGAATACAACACCTCAAAGACAAGAATCAGTTTGTGACCCTGAGGTAATGAGAATTCCAGGGACCACTGACAATCTCCACTTACAAAGCAAAGCATGGAACAGACCCAAAGTATCAAATGCCCTACAACAAAGAGAAACTGACATGGTAAGTCCTGGCTGTCCTCCCCGCCGTCCCTTCCACATACCACCACAGTGCAGGCAGGCACTTCCTTCACTGAAACAAGACTTCGCTCCAAACAAGACTTTGTCTCTTTTGTCATTCAAGTAGCTTACCTCCTGTCCTGTAGCTGCTTCCATATCAAGAAACAGATCAAGAAGAGATCGGACCAGACGAGCGGCTTTAGCCTTACTGATGGAATTCAAGAAGGGTCGCACATACTTCAGGAGTCCTCCAAGCTCTGTGGAAGGCAATTGTCACAGGAAAAAGTATTCATCAATATTAGGGACAAAATACCCATTAAACGATGACCCAAGATAATAAAATCAGTACTTGGGTCTGGGAGCAGTCAAAAGGAAACTTAGGAATTCAGAGCATTCTCAGCAGGTAACAGAATAGCAAAAAAGTTAACAGCTTACACCAAATCTGTATTCCATTCCCCACTTGGCCACTGGATTACTGTGAGGGTCCTGGGAAATGCTCGAGGCTTTCTACCTCATGAGCAGAGCAAAGTACTCACACTCTCAGAAAGCAGTGTTCTAGAACATGAACTATGCCATGCTTCAACCACCTTGAACAAAATCACTTCCCCACAACCAACAAATTTATCAGGTTATAGAGTTAAAAGAAATTTTTTTTTTCTAATTTCCAAGACTGTCTTAGTTGGAAATCTCAACAGAGATCTTCAATTTAAGGTTCCTTTATTCCTCCCTTCCTAAATTTATGCCCAGTTTAGCCTTTTACCAATGTAATTTCCACGGCACTCTTCTGAATCAGTTTTTCACTGATTCTGTTTGTCCCTTAAAGTTGTACTGCACCCTTTAAAATTCCTCATCAATCTACAAAACCTGAGTCTTAAACTGTGGCAAAAAGGGTGACCACCACAGAGGCTTCTTCCCGCCTTGTGTGAGAACAGAGGGTGGCGCAGTAATCTTCAGGGGGCATCTTTAGAAACAAGAGTGAAAACTAGAGAATATTTCAACTGACCAACTAAGGAAGTACTCCGGAATGTAGGTTAAAATTACTTTAGTGTCACTGCCTCAAATTGTAGACTCATCCTCCTGAGAACTCGAATTCAGGGCAAGCAAACCTCCCCCTCCAGAGAATGCTAATTAGGGGTCTTGAAATCCTCATCTGCCAGCATAATCACAGAAACCACGGGGCCGTGTCAGGTACAAAAGGAACTCTGCGCAGAGAGGAACAGTTCACCTTTCCCTTCACTCCCCGGTCCTGACCTGGGGCGCCCGCCGCCTCAGGTTTCCCCATGCTGTCCCTCCGCTCAGCCCTGTACTGGCTGCACACCGCCTGCGGCCAGGCCTCGCTGCTGCGCTGCCACCTGGAATCCACCCCATCACCTTGACCTACGAGGAGCTTAGAGGCCCTTTCAGGTCAGCTGAAGTCCTACTGAGTCTTCCATGCCAACGCCAGGCTACACCCGTTTCTCTCCCTCAAATTCCTTGTGCACTTATGCAAACTTCAATTACATAATCATAGCTTTTTAAAAGTAGTCGAGTGCAACATCCCTTCTTCTACAGCGTTTTCTATTATCCTGGAACAATTCTGAACAATCTCCAGTGACAGAAATGTTCAGAAAGCAGATAATTCCAATCTTGGTCAAACTCAATTGTTCTTTTCTGAAACATAAGTCCAGAGCCTCTTTCCACATGGCTTCAAATTTGAAGATAACTATCACTTGTATCTCCCTGGGCACAGCAACCCACTCCAGTATTCTTGCCTGAAGAATCCTATGGACGGAGGAGCTTGGCGGGCTACAGTCCACAGGGTCACAAAGAGTTAGACATGACCGAAGCAACTTAGCACACATGCATGTACCTCCCTAAATTTCCCTTTTTCCAAGCTAAATAGCTTTAGCTATTTCAACTGTTCCTCCAACATCTTGGTTTCCAGATTACTTGTCACCTTAGTTGCCCTCCTCCAAATAAAATCTAGTTTGCAAACGTACCACTTGTGGTACCCAGAACTGAAAACGATGTTCCACGTAGGGTCAGACCAGTAGAGTTACGGCTCAGTTCTCCTGATCAGACTGCCACATGTAACACAAGAAAGCATGTCTTGCTTTTGCTAACAGTACTCTTTGTTCAGACTGAGTCCATAAGGTCTTTGTGCAGACTGGTTCCTCAGTTTTGATAAACAGTTTAAGTTTATAACTTTTTCCTTTCTACACAATGTAGTCTTGCTGGCTCTGGCAACAACCCTGAATCCTAAATCTGTTCTCTACTGTACTGAATCATCTACAGAAATAAGCACACCTTCTGCTATGGCTTTAGTCATATGCCAGATGCTGACCAGAACAAGTACAGATCCCTATGACTTGATACGAGAGACTTCCCTCCAGGTCAACAATCGATCCATTTGCCATGCCAAATGTTCAAAGACTGCTTACATCAGGTATGTTTATATCATTATTTCTAACCAGGGGTTAGCAAACTTTTTCTGTGAAGGGCCAGATAGTAAATATTTTCAACTTTGTGGGTTATACAGTCTCAGTGGTAGCTACTCAATTCAGCCACTGTAGTGCAAAAGCAGTCATGGGTAATGTGTAAACAAATGGGCATGGCTATGTTCCAACAAAACTTTATTTACAAAAACAGGTGGCAAGCCATTGTCCACGGAGTCCTGCAAATCTGATCTGATAAGGCTAACAAAAGAGAACTAGGGTGAGTTTGGAATAATTTTTTCTTAACAAACCCACTGCTTTTTTTATTAAAACCTAATCAAATAATCTGTCCCAGAACTTTATTGATGATTACCAGCTTATAGTGTCTAGAATTTGTTCTTTTCATTATCTTATGAAAAGTGGAATAATGTTTGCCCCTCCTCCTTTTCCTTATACCTCTCCATCCTTCATGATTTTTCTCAGCATCATAGTGGCTCTATAAACATATCTGCTACATCTATTCTTTTGATATTAAAAGACAGAAATTGTCAGAGCCGAGAAACTTGAACTTATTGAAAAAGAGAATCTGCTCTCTCTTCTCTCACCTACCTTGGCTTTAATTCTCTTTTTCTGGTGTTATTTCTATCTTTTTCTTAATCATTTTCCTTCCTGGAAAAGGCAGAAGTGAAACATGAGCTAAGGAATCTGCCTTTCTCTCGAGCACTTGCTAGCATGACAGAATCTTTTCCAAGTTATTCTTTTTGCTCTAACAGAAAAGCAAATGACCTCTTAGTTGCCAAAAGACTCAGTACATTTTTCATTTTAATCTATTACTGTATCTTATTCATTCTTGGTTATATTCCCTGTTTCTTTGCATTTTCACACAATGATTTTTTTAAATTCTGATAGAATCATATTCACTTCGTCCTTCTTTACTTACTGAAGTTATTTGCAAATGTATGACCAGAACTTCCTTTACAGAACCTCACAGAACTCAGCACACTCCTTTAATAGGTTTCAGATTATGAAATCTGCAGGTCCCGAGCCAAGACATCACGTCTGATAATGAAGACCACAACTTTCAATCACAAGCATGCATCAGACAGTCTTATTCACTAATTCCCTAGTTGTCTACTGTCCAGCAGGGACCCTACCTATTTGAGCAGACTACTCAGTGCAATTCTAGCCACATATGAAATGCATAACAAAACAAAATTGAAAATTAACAAAACAGACAGATGTTCTGTTCTCAGGGAACCCCAAATTCAAAGGAAACACCAAAAACTGATCAATTATTAATAGCAAAGATAGGTAAATGAATGTAGGTCCCAAACTTCCTTAACATACTCCTCAAAGTCTTTCTTAGAAAACAATAGGTAACCTGGAAACATTTCTGAAAGTTATTCTGATTCACCTGTTAAGAGTCCAGTAGGTTTCCCTGTATACTTCTAAACTTCTCAGGTATGGATCACAGGGACGGGAGGGCAATGAACAAGCGGGGAGTAAAGCAGGAAATAGTAATTTCAAGCAAAACAGTAGCATTTTCAGACAAACTTTCTGAAACACTGACTGTACTACATGCTGTTTTTAATTATCCATTCTACTTGAAAAAGTAGACATCTGAATGGTTCAACAACAGAAAAATTATTTAAGGGAATTCCCTGGTGATTCAGTGATTAGGACTCTGTGCTCTCACTGCCAAGGGTCCAGGTTCAATTCCTGGTCAGGGAACTAAGATGTCACAAAATGTGCAGCACAGCCAAAAAATAATAATAATTTCACCTGGCTTTCTAATTCAGGAAAATTACTTTATTAATTATATTTCATGTAGACTAACCATTAAAACTGTTTTGCAACATTAACTGACAGGCAAAAGGAATCCATATACATGTTAAATAGAAGTCAGCATACAGTGAAAAAACCACCACCTACCACTGATAACTCATAAGTGAATAACTATGGAAAGCAACAGCCTTTATAACTCAAGGTCATGAGCTTAGCAGAACTACATGGATTCAAATCCTGTTTCTCCCATACTAACTGGGTGCCCGTAAGTAAGATATCTAACTTTTCTGTGCTCACTTTCCTCAAGTATAAATGGGTAATAGAATCTACTTTATCAAGCCGTTTCAAGGGTTCAGTAAGCTAAATCCCACTTGGGCTTAAAGTAACTCGTTCACAGTAAGCACTTAAAAACAGTTTTTCTTTTTAAAGATATTTTAAATAAGATACAAGATCCATATAAATACATTCTCCCAATTTCATACAACTTTACTCAACTTTCTACTGATTAAGTCTAATAATTAGTAAGTTATCACCCTTAATTGGGAAAGATCTTTGTTCTCAATTTCAAGAAGTTTTGCTAAGGCATACCTATCATCCTCTTGGATAACAACATAATTTGGGAGAAAGTAATCCACAAGATCAACTATGTTTAATCCATTCTAATCAGATAAGCTCTAAACTCACTTTAAAGTTAACTAAAATCATCCATGTTAAGTTTAAGCAGGCTACTGTCTGAATACTGTTGTCACTTCACTGGTCAAAGGCCTTCCTGGTCAACAAGACTCTCTCGGTCCAAGGACACGCCCATCAGAATATCACCTGGCGCCTAAAAAGTCAATGGTTCCATTACAGCTAGACTGGGCAACAACAGGTACAAAGTTCTAGGTACCAGTGGAGAAATCTTGGGAAGGTTCTCTCCATTTAATGTCTTACTCACTGTGAACCAGGAAAAAAGGACAGCAAATCACTTCCTTGGATACAAAATCCCTGGTCATTTTGAAAGCCGGGGCCTAGGTACTCTCCACCTTAAATACATCAGAACAGATCCATGAAAGCACCGAAGACTGCTACTGCCCACACATAAGGGAATGCAGCGAAAATCCACAGCAGAAACAAACCACAGGTTACCACATCCCAACAGACACAGGATTCTTCCTTCACCTGCAGAACAAGTCATCCATGAAAGAACTGAGTTTAAAGGCCTCTTAACTTCCTGATAGAAAACTAAAGCTCAACAAGTGGGCACTAAGATGGAACTTCATTACCAATAAACTGTGTGGATGCAGTCCTATACTCCCTCAAAACAAGTGAAACTTCACGCAGCATCTCAGGAAGAGAAAGCAATCCACTTGGAGCACTTACCTGCAGCTTGTCCAGTCTTGGCCAGGAGAGACCCCAGTTCCAGGATGCTCTGCTCCTTGACCTGCACCGCCTCCTCGTCATTCTCCTGAATGTCACGCTTCACTGGGAGAGGAAAACGCAAACCCTCTTAGAATTCCGACAGAAAATGAAGGCTAAGGGAAATTTCACCCTCACAAGACCAAATACAAACTCAAACAGTTAGCAAAACACAAATGTGAGAGAGCTTTAAAAGAAAAAAACTCTAAACAAGAAGAAGTAAATTGATCATGCAGTACATGTCCCATGTATCTATCTCATCAGAACAGACTCCTCTCTTTGGAATTTAAATGTGCCTTTTCATTCTACCACTTAGAATTTCCCTCACCCACATACACTGGCCATTTCTGTTGCTGTCACTTGGCTAATGCAAAATTTCAACAAAACAAGTTCTTTACGCTTGTGGAGTAACGCCCCATGCCAGGTGCTGTTAAAATATTAAACATACCTGACTGCATATTTACCTGCCACAAACTAAAACCAAATGACCAAGTTACCGATAACTATAAAGTCAAAAGTCTTTCAATAAACTTTAGGCCTGTGGAGAACCTCAGATGATGGGTGTGTTAGGAATAAACAGTTCTACAAAGCCATTCAGGAAAAACAGTCCTGTCACAGCTCCAGTGTGGTCCTTAGGAGGGAAGCTAGTTTAGGGGATCTGGGACCTATTTAAATAACTTTGTGCTATAGGTCCCACTTCCAACTGTTAGTAACTATTCTACCACTTGAACACTGGCCAGCCTCTTCAAACTTGTAGTGATAAGTTTAGTAATCATCGCTAGCTATCACTTCTCTTACAAAGCATCATGACTTGACAAAAACCAAAATTCTGATACTCCATGATGGAGTCTGGAAAAAGTAAGGCTGTCAAGCATCATGACTCAAGCTTACTCTAACAAAGAAGCTTTCAGTGAACTCTCTCCTAATACAGTGGGCAAGCAAGAAATACTCTGATTATAATGTTTACCATAACTCCCACTTTATAAAAGACAATACAGTAGGCACTACACACAAAAAATAAAACCCATGCTTCTCACATTAGTTGTAAATACTAGTGTGTATCCACAGGATAAAAATACACATTAAAAAAAAAGATACACATTGAGATAACTCGTTCTGAAACTGTAACTGACTTAAGTCAAGATCAGAACTTCAAACTGAAATACAGCCTTTATTTACCAACATCATCCATTCACTGATGCATCTTAACCCCACTTCTTCCCTTTTTCTAGTAGCCCTAAAGATAAAGACATCAAGATCCTGTCACTGTCCTTTCTCCATGGAAGTCGGGAGAACCAAAATTCAACGGACTTAAGAGTCAACTGCAAAGTCAACAGCCTGGAGATCCCACGTACACGTGCGTTCTCGAACTACTTGTTGATTCAATCCGAATCTTCTCCAGCTACATTAAAAACATCACTACTGCCTGCGTAGTGAAGAGCCAGCCCTATCTGAACCCTTGATGGATAAGCATTAAAAGCCCTCTGTGTCATCATAAATTTATTTCTGTTCACACCTGAATCCCAGGAGAAAACTGTCGGAAGCGACCGGCTCGGGCTCCCACGTCAGTTCCCCCATTCGCATGCAAGGTGTAAGACAAGCATACTACAGTGCTAAGACGTTTTTCTTTCCTTTTCCCCGGCAAAGGGCAGCCGGCAGGTTCCAAAGAGTTCGCAGAACTCCGCGGCTGATAACTAACTCTCTGAACTCTCTTCCAAACATCTCCGGGAGAGTCTAGGGCGATTAGTCACCTCCTCGGGCCGGGCGGTCCCACCCCAACATCTGGTTCTCACACCCTACACGGGGGGGTAAAGGAACCTCTCGGCCACCTCCCCAAACCAAATGCCAACCTGAGGCGTGTGCCCCCTCGGTGTCTCAAAATACACTCAGGAAAACCCCCTGCAAGTGGAGCTTTCCACGGTGGGCTGGCAGAAGTAGCAGCTCCAGCGTCCGGAGAAAAGGAAACTCCAAGAGAAGAGCGAGCGCTCGCACTCCCACCCGAGCAGGCTGGGCTGACAACAAGGGCGGGAAATGCCTGTCCAGAGCGGGTTTCTCAGGCCCTCAACTGGAGGTTCTCAGACCAGCTCGTGACAAAGCCCGCCAGCCGGCCGGCACCGCTCGCGGTCCCGGGCCAGCCCGCACCGGCCAGAGCGGGAGACAAGGCTGGGGAGCGACGGGGCCCCGGCTTGGCCCACTCTCCCTCCGCGCGCCGAGCCCACCGTGAGTCAGCAGCCGGCGAGTGGACGCCGGGCTTGCCTCGGGGCTTCCCACGGGGATGGGGGCCCCGGGGCTCCAGGGAGCTCCTAGCGGCCCGGGGCCCCCGGCCCGGCCCCCCTCTCTCTCACACACACACACACACAGTGAGTCAGCAGCACCGGTGCCGGCTAGCCCGGCCCCGCTCCGCCGCCGCCGACAGACACAGGCCGAGTTGGACCAGCGGGGACAGAGAGGGCGCGCGGCGACCTTTACCGATGGAGTGGAGGATGTCGATGGAGGCCTCCCGGTCGGTGCTGAGTAGAGACTGGGCTCTCTGGAACTCCACCACCGCCGCCGCCGCCATCTTACCGCTCTCACACCGTCCCCGGCCGCGGCCGCCGACGCCGGAAACACACGCCCGGAAGGCCCGCCCTCGCCCCCGCCCTCCTCCACTCCCAGAGCACCAAGGGAGCTGTAGTCTCTGCGCGGGGGCCGCGGAGGCGGGCCGAAGGGTGAGGATGAGAGCCGGGGAGCTGGCCGCCCACCAGCGAGGCTCTCCGGCACCGCCTAGCGGCTGCCCCCGAACAAACAAGGCAGTGCCTAACCATTGGAGCCCGAGACTAGTCCCCAGCCACCCACAAGAGGCGTCTAAACCCGCGACTCCCTCGCTTGCCCTTGAGAGAAGTGTTTGAGCACCCGCCTGGGTATTCAGTGAAAGCTGTTTGGCTTTCTTTGTAGCTTTTCCACATTCAGCCATTCATTCAGGGCAATAACAATCTCATAAAGTGCTCACTGTGTGGCTGACAAAGAATAGCACTATTCAAATGCTTTCAAGTATCTGGCAACACGTGGGAGGGACACACACACACACACACACACACACACACACACACACTTTTCAGACTAGAATCCTACAGAATCCTAGCCAGCCAGTGACTAAAGGCACCGGTGTTGGAGAAAAATGATGTTAGAAAGTGAAATATCATCTTTGCCCCATTCACTCAGTTAATCCCTCTTGGGGGTCACATAGAGGTCTAACAGCTACTTCAACTCCTAGCTCAATAAAGAAAAAACGATTTTTTTCCCCAATGTCTCCAGTGCCTTCAACTAATATTACACACATCCAAAAAGCTATCAAATAGAAGGAAAAAAAGACATTCTATGTGCCCACTGAGAGTTGAGTTTAAAGGAAGTACTAAAAAGGAATACAGACAGTTCAGCATGAAGATCTTTCTGTGGGTGAAGACAATCCAAAAATGCAATAGGCTGGGACCTTGCATTCCCGTAGTTAGGACCCCGCGTTTCCACTGCAGGGTGCACAGGTTTGATCCCTGGTCAGGAGCCTAAGATCCTGCATGCTGCTTTGGAGTGGCCAAAAAGAAAAAGCAATATGCTGCCTCCTAAAGGAACCTATTAATATAAAGGGAACCAACCATGACTCACCTGTGTCTGGGTTGCTGTGCTGTGCTGGGCTTAGTCACTCAGTTGTGTCCTGACTCTTCAGGATCCCATAGACTGTAGCCTGCCAGGCATCTCTGTCCATGGGATTTCCCAGACAAGAATACTGGAGTGGGTTGCCATTTCCTTCTCCAAGGGAACTTCCTGAGCCAGGAATCAAACCAGGGTCTCCTTCATTGCAGTCAGATTCTTTACCAGCTGAGTTACTGGGGAAGCTGCCTGTCTGAGTTAGGCAATTTATATGCCTATTTCCTTTTATCTTACCAGCAATGTTCTGTGAAAAAGATATCATTTCCACCTTCTTTATAGATAGAGGTTTTAAATGATTTGGTGAAACTCATATGGTAGTCGACAGCCCTGAGATCTGAGAGTTAGAGAATGGGTTCCTAGTTCCTGGATGTGCTCAAATGAGAACTGGATAACATCTCATCAAATCTTAGTAAACAGGATTCATGATATTGATTGGGGAATTGGGTAAAATAGTTTCTAAATGTCTCCTAAAACTGAGCCTTTCTTTGCTCAAAAAAGGCATTCCTCCCTTCTCAATTTGGTACCCAATTAATATTGTACCAGAACGTTAATGGGCTGTAAAATTCCAAAGATGAGAACAAAAGCCATATGTATCCCCACCTTCTGAAGAAGAGTTACCAGTTACATCCCCAAAGATGTAACCTTCATCCACTTCCAGCCTACAGCAGGAAACTTAAAAATTCAAAAGGAATTCATTAGAAGAAATCATAGAAGGGACTTCACTAGCAATCCAGTGGTTACAATTCTGCGCTTCTACTGCAGTGGCGCAGGTTCGATTCCTGACTTGGGAACTAAGAGCCCACATGCTGTGCAGTGCTGCCAAAGAATAAAAAATTTAAAAAGAAAGAAATCAGAGAAGAGGATAAAGTGCTTACCTCACTACAAATGGGGGGGGTACTACAAAAGATGAAGGGTGTCTGCCAAACCTTTCTGCCAAGCTGGTATGTCTTGCTGACCACAGGAACTTTTAAGCTCCTCTCTGCACAGCCACCATTATGAAAGCTGGAGGTGAGCCTGATATGTTTCTCCAGGAGTCTGGGGCCTTCATGCATATTCATGAGAAGAGTTACCCACTTTTGGCCTGCAGAATTCCAAATCAGAGAAACAGGGTAATGTGCCCCACAATGGGACAAGGAGAAAGAGCCTCTGCTTCCTGCGCTTGCAGGGGGCCAAGTGCTAAGGTAGACTACACAGGGCCATCTTGAAAGGACCTGCTCAGCAGGGCCATCTGAGAGAGCAAGGAGACCTATCATAAAAGGCTGGAAGGATGGGCTTCAGGAAGCAGTCACTCAACGGGGATTGTGAGGTCCACCAGGGGGGCCACTCAAGAACACACAGATCCTGTCAACAAGAAAGAATCAGCACCTATACTTTCAATCCAGTAACCATCATAGCACTGTTTATTTTCTACCTAGGACTTAACACAGTCTGAGATTTTATTATTTCACCTGTTTAAGTTCATCTCCTTCCACAGAGTTTCAGAAACCTTGTCAATCTTGTCCAGTTTTGCTCCCAACTCCTACCTGCACACACAGCAACCACCCAATACATATTTGCTGGATGATGAGACAAGTGCTAGAATTTGTCCTGCCACAACCTTCTGCCCTCAATGTCTGTGCCCTACACTATGGCATTATTCACTTGAGCCAATCTGACTGCTAGCACAGATTAACCAGTGACCTGGGGCATAGAGGGACTGGCCTGAAATAATGAACTGGACCAATCCAATTCCTCCCTCAGGAGTTGGGAAATTGAGACACTGAGCCAGTTAGCCAAGGGAACAGAAATCAAACTCTGTCACTTGGAACAAACCAGAGCCAAGCTGGGAGACAGACAACTCAGTAGATGAGTGGAAAGAAGCAGGAATATCATGCAAGGGAATCTAAATCCCTCCATAGAAGCCCACCTCAGTTCCTTTCCAGTTCTTCTCCCATGAGGTCCACTCAGACCATATTCGCCATTCTTGGAATACTGTGACGTATTTCCATTCCAAATATTCTCCAGTCCTTCTTATTGAAGAAAAAATGTTCAGTGAGATGTCATTATGGTTTTTTTAATTTATATTTTTTACATTTATTTTTATATATTTATATTTATTTATATTTTTAACAAAGTGAGAGCAGGCAACAGTGTCTAGATGGAGTTTAGATTTCCTTGTTTTTATTTTTATGGCTACATTCTAATTATGGTCAATAATACTAATGGTTTTCCATTGAAGGTAGAAACGTAAAGTTATAATGAAAAACAAAGTAGGTCAATTTCAATAGCATTACATATGGAATGTGGACATGAGAAAAGTCAGGAATATGTAGTCGCTCAGTGGTGTCTGACTCTTTGCAACCCCATGGACTGTAGCCTGCCAGGCTCCTCTGTCCATGGAATTTTCCAGGCAAGAATACTGGAGTTGGTTGCCATTTCCTACGCCAGAGGATCTTCCCGACCCAGGGGCTGAACCCGCATCTCTTATAACTTCTGCATTGGCAGGCAGATTCTTTACCACTCTGCTACCTGTGATAGGCAAATTATTATTTGGGCCAGAAAACCAAATCCTGGTTTTAATAAAACTGTGTAGCCAACCATCTGCTTTCCCTACCATTCTCTTTATTCCAAAATCACATTTCTCATTGGAAAACTGGTTGGTCCTTCAGGTTCCCACCCTAGGTTTATAATCTTTAAAGATGACTTTCAAGTTACTCCTGTGAAATGCACTAGACGCTGAGGAAAAGAGTGTGGAATTTGAAGTTGGACAAACATAGAGCACAAATCTTTACTATCAACTAATAGTCAAATCACTTAAACTCTCTGAGATTGAGTTTGGCCATCCATAAAATTATTTTAAAAATCTAATTCAAATTGTACATAGAAAACCCAAAAGATAGTATCAGAAAATTACTAGAGCTAATTGGTGAATTTAGCAAAGTTGCAGAATACAAAATCAATACACAGAAATCACTTGCATTTCTATCTACTAACAATGAAAAATCAGAAAGATAAATTAAGGAATCAATCCCATTTACCTCTGCAACAAAAAGAATTAAATATCTAGGAATAAACTTACATAAGGAGACAAAAGAACTGTACACAGAAAATTATAAGACACTGATGAAGTAAATCAAAGGCAACATAAACAGATGGAGAGACATTCCATGTTCCTGGATAGGAAGAGGCAATATTGTGAAAATGAGATTATACTACCAAAAGCAATCTACAGATTCAATGCGATCCCTATCAAAATACCAATGGCATTTTTCACAACAGTAGAACAAAAACTTTCACAATTCATATGGAAACACAAAAGACCCTGAATAGCCAAAGCAGTCTTCAGAAAGAAAAATGGAGCTGGAGGAACCAACCTTCCTGACTTCAGATTATACTACAAAGCTACAGTCATCAAGACAGTATGGCACTGGCACAAAAACAGAAATATAGGCCAATGGAACAAGATAGAAAGGCCAGAAATAAACCCATGCACCTATGGGTACCTTATTTTTGACAAAGGAGGCAAGAATATACAATGGGGCAAAGACAGCCTCTTCAATAAATAGTGCTGGGAAAGCTGAACTACTACGTATAAAAGAATGAAATTAGAACACTTCCTAACACCATACACAAAGATAAACTCAAAATGGATTAAAGACCAAATGTGAGACCAGAAACTATAAAACTCTTAGAGGAACACATAGGCAGAACACTCGATGACATAAATCAAAGCAAGATCCTCTATGACCCACCTCCTAGAGTAATGGAAATAAAAACAAATGTAAACAAGTCAGACCTGATTAAACTTAAAAGCTTTTGCACAGCAAAGGAAACTATCAGTTCAGTTCAATTCAGTTCAGTCACTCAGTTGTGTCTGACTCTATGTGACCCCATGGA